TTTAGTTGTTTATATAAAAATATTATCAATATCACAAAATATACAATTACTAATAATTTAATGAAGATTACATAATAGAATGACGAATAATTTCTATAAATGAAAGTTAAATAACGAAATAACGAAATAACGAATGAAGATTTTCTACTATGGCTACAATATATATAAGTGGCAGTAAACATTTCCATGGTGATAAAATTAATAGCTATTTTTAAATATTCTATTGTTTATATTAAATACACATCTCGACGGAACATAGATGTCGTTGATCTAAATTCTTCGAAGTAGAGGTCGCTACAAATGTGTACAAGCTCTGATTGGCTTTAATTAAAGGAAGAACTACTTCGATTTTTCTTGAAACTGACATAAATTATATTTCGTAAATAAATATGATAAATAATATATAATGTCTCTTTCTATTAAATAATAAACTCACTATGTACACTAACAAATGGCTATAGTTAAATTAAAATATATTGTATATATAATAAATTAATATATGTGAATCGTTTATTCTGAAATAAACGCATAAGTCATTTTATAGTAATGAAAAATGACGATTCCTTAATGTTTGTGCGAAATTATTTATACTGAGAAAAATATAAGTATCCAAGATAATAAATGTAAGCAAATCTCGGAAGTTGGCATCAATTTTTCTAGGCACGTTAAAACATAATATCTCGATTTAAAAATGACTTATGTCACTTTCAAAATAAACGGCTTATATAATAATAAATAATAATAAATATATGCATATATGCATATAAGAATTTTTTAACTCACAACATTGTAACTTGGATTGGATTTGGGAAAATAGCACGGCGATACGATGTAAAAAAGCGCCTTTTTTTCTAAACAACCGCCTTTCCACTCACGTTGAAAATAGAGGTCGCTAGTCATTTCCGAGTTTTCCTTTATGACAGAACTTTCACAAGGAATATACTTTTCAACGAGACAGTTGGGCTGAAAGTAAAGGTTATGAATGGGACGTAACAAGCTTTATTAATCTAGTGATCTTATCATATATAATTTGACAGTACGTACTTCAATACAATTATATGTTATATTTAACAAAATTTTTCTATTATTGATACTCGAAATCACCGTTTCTAATTGTTTATTTCATTACAGACGTGTGAACGAGATATTAAAACTTCTTTAGAAATAATAGTAATGAAAGCAAAATAATGGCTAATAACAGTGAAATGCATAATATTAGTGACAGAGAAGCAAGTTTTTCTTCAAGTAAAAATGAATCTTCTATATCAGCAGAGTCGAATTCTTCGTCTATACCAATTCTATTTTCACCTTATATAGTTTCTAGTCGTGGAAAATCTAATGCTCGAAAGGAACAACAATTAAAACATAGTTTAAGTTTCGGTCGTTCTTCAAACGACGAGGATATTCCTACAAAGGACACTGTCATGAAAAATTTAAATATTTCAGTCGAAGAAGAGGAACGTACAGCACAATATTTTCACTTTATTTTGCATAGAGAAATGAGTAGATTAGTTGAATTATGTGATAAATGGACGAAAATTCAGACAGAGCCAGAAACTACTGAAGTTGGTCAATATGAAATAACTAAAACGATTGAACAAACAAATTTGCTAATGTATAAAAAATTTGAAAGATTTCGTACATTGATCACTCATTGTGAAATAGGAAGAGGAGAAATGTTAGTTACATGTAAAGATTTGCAAGGATTCTGGGATATGATGTATACGGACATAAGAAATTGTGACTTGCAATTTGAAAAACTGGAGAAACTTCGTTCACAAGATTGGAAAGAAGAGGGTACGCTCGTTAATAGATCATTTACAAAAAAAATTGGAGATATTGTAGGAAAACAAAAAAAGAAAATGACAGAAACAATTAGGAGGAATAAGGAATCTAATCAACACCTAACCAGTAAACTAAATAATAAATACCAAAGGAATATAAGTCCTAATATAGAGCATAAAATAAAGTCCATGTTTGTTGGCTTTAATGAAAATGAACTTACAAAACATAGAAAATCATGTCTATTAAAAGATAGTTACCCAATAACAACAATATCTAAAACACCGGAAGTTCAGTTAGATGATTCAATATCATATATTAATTCTAATCAAACACCAGGGAGAAGTATATTAAAACAACCAAAGAATCCATTTGAGACAAAATATCGTATAAAGTCAACAAATAAGGTCAATTTTGATGATCATATAACTTTAAATGAAATACCAACTGATGAAGAAACACAGATAAGATTAAATTTAGCTGCAACATTGTTGAGAATAGATAATTTTGATCTTAATAGTTCTGATGAAGTAAAAATTGGAACAAAAAGAAAGTTGTTTGACAATACTAGTCCTAATGAATATGAATATGATGTGAAACAAAATTCACAAGATAATAAAATAACATCTGTGCAGGTACAAGCAGCAATACCATTACAAGAAACAAATAAAGATTTCAACATACCACAAAGAAGCATGAGAAAACAAAATTCTCAAGATGAAAATGGTGTAACATTAGATCAAAGTGTGTCTTTAAATATAAATACTTCCACACCAATTAAGAAAGATAAAAGTATTTTAAATTTAAATACATTATCACAAAAACATGTTCCTACAAGTAATAAAAATGAAATTAGCAGTTGTGATGAAAGTATAAAAATGTTGAGAAATAGAACTATTATTTCAACGAACAAACCTATAAATGAAAGAAAATCTTACAGAAAAGTGTATGCTCAAGAACTAGAACATAAAGAAAATGACTCTCCTTTAGAGAAGAAAACAAGGAAACATTCTTTTAAAATCAATATTAATAATTGTGAAAAAATGGATATAGATGAAAATAATAGCAGTAAGAAGAGATCCATTAGGAACGTAAAATTTTCTGGTGATGATAATTTTTTTCTTTTTAAATGAATTAATATTTTATTTTTTTAAATGCAATGTTTAAATAAACATATTTTATTACAGAAAACGAGAATTATGAAGAAAGAAATAGATCAATTCTGCCTCCTGCTAAAAGATGTAAAACATATTCCAACAAATTTATTCCAAAGGAAAATTCTGTTTCTTCGGAAATGCAAAAAACACGTAATTATTTTATCTTAATTTTTATTAATCATGAATTACATTTAAATATTTTATTTATATATATATAAATATACATATAATTTAATTTTCAGGACATCTTATGAAATTAAGAAGTAAAAAGACATAATCTCTAGTCTGACTGATGTACAAAGAGTTCAAATATTTGCATAGATTGTTTTCTTTAAAATTTCTTTTTAAGTATTTTGAGTTTATATTATTATAATATATAATATTAATATGTAATGTTAGATTAAATAGAACTTTACTGAACAACATATTTTTTATAAAAATGATAACTAAAGAAAGTTAGAAAATTTGTGCATATTACATAACAATAAATACATTAATAAAATTTATTGCCGAAATGATATATATATTTATAATGATATAAAGCATGGTTTAATATTATAAGGAATTGTACAAAAAAAAGAATAAGAGAGATTGCTCCGCTGTGATATAGAAAAAAGATCATTTGTCTGTTAATTATTAACTAAGAACAGAACTCTAAGTACTTATTATAAAGAAACGCTTAGAAACCAAAAAATTATTTTTCATTATATAATTTTCAATTAGTACCAACATTTTTTTAACGCTAGATAGTAATAGTGCTTATATTTATTATAAAATATCGTCTTTGTTGAACAAAGATTTCATTTTTTTGTTTTTAATAATATGATTTATTTTTATTTTGTTTGACTGTAAACTGTAATCACTTCTTTTTGATTATTCAACGCATTTTTATAAAAGCTTATCGAGTAATAAATGTAAAAACTGCAATTAGTAGAAATAATTTATCCTAGTTATTCTAACAATAAACTTGCGCGTTGAGAACTAATGACGTTGATCGTTATAGTCTTCATCGATTGATTAAATTTTAAAAAAAGTCATTTATAAGATTAATCTGTGAACTCTTTTTATTATGTCTTCTTAATTAAGTTTCGGGCATTCTTCCTTTATTGAAAGTTTGTAGTGTAATAAACGATTTATAAAATAAATATGTATTATTTATTTAGTTTTTCCAATTTCAAAATTAAACTGATTTGACGAGTTTTATTGTGGATATACAACTGTTTTGGGGGCCAAAGAATGAAGTTGAAAGTCAGTTGAAAAAGCAATGGAGTGATTCTTGGAGTAAAGGTCGTTTAAATTGATAAGAACGTTTCTAAATCATTTGGATATAAAACGTTATTTATAGGTTTGGACATATCGTCATTTTTGACAAATTTTACTTGTTTAAATAGCGATGCCTATATTCTATCAGTTTTATGAAGAATATTCATTGTTTGTTCAACTTAGTTGGCCATTATATACAAAATTGAATTTGTTTTATCACTGAGTTATTGCAACTAGAAAATCAATTTTTACTTCTAAACTTAATATAAAAATGATCTTGTTCAAAAATTTTATTGTGGAATCTGATTATGGAAAATGAAGATTAATGGTTTTAACTACAAAAGGTATGTATTTTGAATATAATTTACAATATATTTTAGATTTGTGTATTTTATCTAGATCAAAAATTGTTCAGTTTTTAGAAATAATACAATTAATAATAATATTTCCTCAACTTATTAACTTAACTTGTTGAAACTGAGTCAGTGCAAAGCAAATACTTACAAATGATTAAATGCTCTTTGTTCCTTTTTTTTGAAATATAATTATAAGTAATTTCAGCATGAAATTATTTTCAAAGTTGTATAATTATAAATTTTATGAATTTTAATCAAATTTTTAGTCCATTAAATTTAATCGTCGAAAAAATGTCACACATCTAAAAGGAATTTATTCCAAAAGGACTGAACGACTTTCAAATGTTTGCTATAGTAATTTTGTGCGTGTCAATGTTAAACTCTAGTACTTTGACCTCGTTTGAACTATGTAGATAACTATGTAGATAACTTTCAAGATCTCTATGCTATCTTCCCGGAAATTGAATATATTTCATCTTAGAAATTCCTTTCCGAAATACTTTATTTCATTTGTTCGATAATATTCTATTAATATTGCCCTTTTCATGTAATACGGATATTTTTTCTTATTTAAATGAATAAATATTTTATATAGACCAATAAATACTTCTTAATTAATTTTTTAATACTTACAGATACTTTTTTTCAAGCCAAGAATAATATTTCTTTCAAAAATCATTTTTTGTTCGCAGAATTCATTATGATATTCCATTTATTACGAAAAATTGTTAAAACATGACACTGTACACATACAATCTATTACGCTAGTTAGGAATAATTTATTCAAATAGGCGGTACATGATGTGCACTATCGTTTGTATATAAGTTACAATTGATAATATTGTTTAATAACAATTACATATTAATGCCGTCTTAATTTCTCTACATGAACACAGTAATTAATTCTTCTACATGAACACAGTAATTAATTCTTAAATTAAGTATCCAATATCCAATGTCAAAACAAAACGTATTTTTCTTTTCGAATGCACCGCGCGTAAAATCAGATCACCAAATATCCCCAAATGTTCCTTTTTCCTCTCTCTCCATCATAATAGCAGGTTTAGCGGAGGGGATTGGTAATGGAAGGAGAATGGTTCCGCTTGGAATGGAGGGGCATGTCAGAAATGGTTGCGGGGTTTGATAGCGCAAGCCTGCTTTGTCTAATTGCACGTATTTACTGGCAGAAGGAGAAGAGGACAAGCACGGTGCAAGGCAGAACGCGAGGAAGGTCGTCCGTAAGGAATGAGCGAAGAATGGCCTACTCGGAAACGCCGCTCACGACGCTCACCGTTTCCCTCGTCTACTTTCTGGTACTCTTCGGTAAGTTACTGACTTACCAGTTGGCTCGACTGTTTTCGCGTTCCAATCTTCTGCATTTTCCCGCGCGACGTCGTTTCTCTCGCTGATTTTTAAATCATCTCGTAGTTCCATTTGTCCGTCGTTTAACAATCCGTCGAGGAAGGGAAAAGTACTTCATTGAATCATAAGATTAACTTATAAGTGCTCAAGATTATTCGGATATTTGTACAGATAACTACATTTCTAAGTGCAATTGAGAAATTGGACCGTATTATACATAGATCATGATAAGGGTACACATGTTTATTTAGTCATTTATCTTTATTTGATTTCATTGTTAAGCAATTAGAAGTAAATTATTGTGTCAATGACGTTCAAAACAGGAAATGTACTTCATGTTTAATACATTGCTTTAATACATTGCTTCAAAGTTTTTATAACTATAGAGGCATACCTCAGAGATATTATAGGTTCGATTTCAGATTATTAAAACGAATTTTAATATATATAAAAGTATTTATATTGTTATATGTTATAAAAGTATTTGTATTGTTATATGTTATTGTTATATTTACTCTAGTTTATTCAGTGTCAAATTATTAAAGCAGTTTATATAAATATATATATATATATATGTATAAGTTAAAGGATATTATTTATGGAGAAAAAATATCATACATAAATATATTTACTGTCGCTTATATACGAATATTTTCAATAGTTTAAAAATTCATTTCTAAAATGTTTTTGCTTTACTTTACCCAGTTAAACGAATCGTCATTTATGGCAGTTATAACCTTAAGAAATATATTTCTTGAATAATTAATATAATTACATTGAACAAATTATTAATGTGTTTAACTTATATATTGTTAAAGTTACAATAATAATAAAAATTATTGATAACAGTCATTGTTGTTTATGCATTTTTGGAAAATTTGAAGTTTCAAAAATCTATAGAATTTATATAATGTACGTAAAAATATCCAAAATAGAGAAATTATTATATTTATTATTAGTGGTAAAGCAAATTTCTATGTAAAATTAATTTTTTTTATTTTCATAATTACACGTACATTATATTTACTAAGTAAAGTAATTAATAAAGTATACATACATATTTACTAAGTAAAGCATTCCTTAAATAAAGTATTCCGTAATTTACGAAAATATCTACATATCTAAAGCACAATAAAATGAAATATGGCATTTGATGATAGTTCATTTAAATAATTAATGGCTTTTTGAATGAAAATGAGATACACATAAATATTCATACAAAGCTTAAACTGTAGAATTGAACAAAGAACAAGGTTTTATCTTATTTCTAAATAGAATCCGATGAATCATGTGGAATAATTTCTTTCTTTCTTCAATGTATGTGTATCCTCAGTTCTTTTTTAGTATTTCATTTTGTACTTTTGTTTGGTTAACCAAAGATACAGTCTTCGAAACATTGGATATATTTTCTAACTCAGATCGAATTCTATAATAATCAGCAACAAAGTAACTAATTTAACTAATGTACATTCGGCTTTAGAGTAAATAGATTTTTTCTTTTAAAAATTTTAAAAATTAATTCTTTTAAAATTCATTAAACTTTTATTCCTTCCATTTTTAAATGTTTAAATGATTTTTTTAATTCTGTAAAAATGAAGTTCTAATCGGAATTTTTTGTTTTTCAGGTTCCTACTGTCAAATGGCACCAGGTAAATGAACATTTTTCTATTTTAAATTTACTAAAAAAAAAAAAACTAAAATAAAATAAAGAATAAATATAATTTTTCTGTTTATAATTTACTTCCTGCGATTTAATTAAATTCCTTAATAAAAGCTAAAGACTATGGGGAACTATAGAACTATGGGGATTTATAGAATAAGAAAGAATTGTAGCCTGTTTTGACGGAATAATTCTCTAGGTAACCTATTAGTGGTTAGGTATTCACAATTGAATCTCATTCCATTTGGCTAATTTTACTCAAAACAGAAAATGTATAAATTTTACTTTAGTGAAATCAAATATCAAGACAAGGTAGTAAGCAATTAATTTTATTTTAATAAATCAAAATGAATTTTTATTAATATTTTTACGTAAAGACGGTTATTTTTATTTAAAGATTAAATAGGTATCCGCAATTTCTCCTTTGTTTAATTGCAAGAACGGAGAGTGTATTATTTCCGTTTCTTTGTCGTGTAGCAGGGACTTGATGAATTAACGGTGCCTATCGTTGGAGTATGTAGTGATGTGTGATTATGTGCGTACATAAGCAAATCTCGTGTCTGCACATGCATGTATCTCGTAAACGGCATATTGGCAAACTTCATCGTTTTCAGATCGTTCGAAATTGTGACGATTTTGTGTAGGTACGTGCCTGTATACCAGACGATTCAAAAATATGAACGTCTGTAATATAAAATGTTAACCTTAACAGTTTGTGAAGTTTTAGGAAATTGAAGTAGCTCGTTCTATTTCATTATTTTATTTCCTAGCTTTATTACATGAATGTTTACAAAATTATCTTTCGTTTATTTTTGTATTTTTATTGTGTATGTTTATGTTGCAAAAATGAGTTAGTACATGAGTATAAATATTATAAATATAATTGAGTATTGAACATAAGCATAATTTAATTATTATGAAATCGAGAAGAACGAGTCATTAATTTTTGCATGTAAATAATATGTGATTTCTTTATTCATAGATCTATCGTTTTTGTTAAAATTTAGTATCATTTTCATTAAAAATAAATTATATTATAATTACATTTACAAGAACTAAACTAGATCAGATCAATTTATATTTATTAAAATTATTAATTCTATAATTATGGAAGTGTTTGGTTAAAAAATAACCTAGTAACAGATCATTTTATAAAAATAATAATTTTTTAAATGAAACGCGTTTATTATTTTTAAAGTAATATATCGTACATAAGCAATTGGATATCTAGAATAATTTCATCGAATTTTTTAATATTTTTATTTTATTTTATTTCTATAATTATGCTCGACAAATATTTTTAATTTTCTACATTTTATTATAACAGAAATCTTTCAATTTTATTGTAACTCAAATGCTCTGTTTAATTTAATGTAAAGAATATATTTTTCGATTTCTATATTCATTTCTAATAAATAGCTGACATTTCATAATTTAGACAAAATTTAGAAACTTTTTGACTAAAAATTGACATATTTCAATTGTTCTAATATCTCAACATTGTTAAATCTCTCAACTAACGTATCTCTGTAAAATTAATCAACCATTTTCAATTACTTCGTTTTTATTTATATTAATTGATATTCTATTAATTATATATTATAATTACATTAAAAAGATTTATTTGAATTATTGCAATTTATATTTGAACTGTCTAAGTATTTATATGTGATATCGTACGTAATTTGATCGTTTAATTTTGCTGATGACGATTAGAAGAGAATATGCTATGTGTGTTTGACTTGTTTAATGAAGAAGTATTATAAATTTTTGAACTTCCAATTTGTAAATATTTTTTTCATAAAATTAAATTCGTTTCATTGTTCATACTTCCTCACTTTCTAATCACAAATTTAAAAAATTTTTCCTTATATATTTGAGTCACCTTGTATATACAATTGTATGAATGTGTTTACTTTTGTTATACTGCAATTATAACACAATGAAGTGCCAACACTGACGCGTATTAAATGTTTTTGCGAACATATATGTAATTAAAATCGTAGATCTTACCTGTTTTCAAAGATATTATTTTGCTGTGGGAACAAACATTAAATAATGCATGATAATAATTACGAATCATAATAGGCTGGCAAGTTCAGGTGCAATCTTCGCATCAATTGATAGAATTATATTTACGTCATAAATGAGAAAAAGTGCCTACATACGTTATTCTATTTCTAAATTATTCTACTATTACTAAAGACGTTAAATCTTCGCATAGAAACTATTCATATATTTACCAACGTGCGCAAATTCGAACTAATATTAACATTGGTATTTCCTCTTGCTCTCTACGTCTCTGTCGCATCACTGAACGAAAAAAAAAGAAAAAAAAATGTATATATTGCTATATTCCATAACTCCGTAATCGCTCTGTAATCCAACATCCTACATGCACGTATCTAACCACATGCGAACGATACCCATACACATTCATAACAGAATACGTAGGATCAACTTACACAGGCAATTGCTATCCAGTGTGTCCCATCGGCTTATAGCCGAACGAACCATTCCACGGTAACAATGTTTGTCAGTCGATCGGTGACTCCTGCCGGGTCGCATACCAAAATTACTGTGCGTCGTGTTCGTGTCCTCGATCAAATTCTTCGGTCGAGCTCTTCGTCAGAGGCAGAACGGAAGAATAGATTCACGCTGCCTCTGCTACTTTGTCGATCATGTACTTAAAGGTGTGCGTAATTTTTGCAGCGATGGCTGGAGCCACTAGAGGCTGGGATCTGGGAAGCGGGTTGAAATATAAGCTGACGACGACCTTGCTGTTTAGCGAGGCAGCTCCGTCGAAATCCAGCGGGGACGTTGGCTTCCGATTAACCGGCGAATTGGACGTGACCGCCGTCTGGCAGAGACCGGACGATTCGAGTAGCTTCTTGCTGAAAATCCAGGTAAGAATATTGTTTGATTTCCATTTATTTGAACGAAACTTTTAACCAATGTTCGATTGAGTGAATTTCTGTTCAAACGGAATTTCTCTATTGTTGGATGTGAGGTTCTATTTGAAGAAGTCGTGAGGAGAATCAATGAACTCATTACAATACAATACTATTATTGTGTATTGTAAGCTTTGTAAGCTTTAAGTGGAATATAGCTCACTTATGACTCAATGGTTCAGATAAATGGAATTCTACAATAACTTTTATTTTTAGAAAATACGAACACTTTAAGATTAGAGTATTATTTGTGTGTGAATGAAGAGATACATATTTTTGAAATTTCTTTTGCTATTAACACATATTGTTAGTAGTATGTATGAAAGTTTTTATTTAGAATTTGATATTTATTTCATTTGATATTTCAAGTAAATACGTTATCATAAAATTTTTTCGTGTTCAAAACAGAGTACAGAGTAGTTATCAAATTATATATTATCAGTAACACAATGATCAGTTTATATTTTTCAGTGGTAAAATTATAAAAATACTGTTTTGATGATTTCTAAATATATTATAAAAATCAACATTTCAAACCTAAATATTCACCTTTCTAAGATAATATTCGCTAAAGATTGTCGGTACTAGCCCATTAAATTTTGCAATATGTACATCTGTGATACACATAAGCATAGCTGGTACATCAATCATTGCTCTCTTTATCTTTGTATTATACTTATGAATCTAAACAATAACTGCTATGAAACAATAACTGCTATGAACTGCTTGTTTTTCTTTAATAGAAAATGACAACTTTTACCAAGTTTGTTCGAAAAATAATTATTTTACATAAGTGTTGCTGGTTTGTTTCACGGCTAATTGTTTTTTCATTTTTAATTGAGTGATTCTGAAAAAATCAGAATCTTAAGTTTGAATTGGTTTATTCTGCCGTGTTAAATCAAGAGAGTGTATCTTTTACTTAAATCAAATTATTAATGTTAAGTAGCATAAATAGTTTATCTATGTATATTGTAAGGAAATCTTTTTTGTAAAGAATTGTATTGAAACTGAAGATATAATAGTTTATATTTCGATACCTGATTGTTAAATATTGAGCTTTTTTTCGAAAGTCGTTTGCCAAACCATCTTGTACCTAAATACGGCTATTTGAATTAACTCAGTATTATATTCAGCTATTATATTATATTATATTATACATGTACATACGCTGTTATGGACGCATAATTATAGGCAAAATTTATTGTAGTGGTGTCAACAGTTCTTTGCAAATACCTCGAAAACTAGATTCAATCATCAGTTATACAAAAAAAAAAACTTGTTTAACATGTTGATGTCTACAACATATTCAAAAATCATCGAAATCGAAGAGATTTTCTACAACTTCATCTTTTTCAATATTCACATGAAAAAATGCACATATGCAATGAATCAATTTATCTATCAGTATCTCGAATGTATATAAAACGATATAATTGAGTTACTAGATGCAAAACAAAATTTCTGTAGCATTTCTAATCAAGAAATGAGTGATATGTATATTACCAATATGAAACTATGATAACCTTTTCTGATAAGGTTGAAGTTACATGTTTCGAGATACCGAATGGAATATATGTAGCTTGTATTATGCGAAAAACATAGCTTAGAGCTCTAAATTAATCGAATGGAAGAAAAAAATATCGTAAATTTTGGTTGAGAAACTAAAATTTTGAAATTTTCTGGATGGTTTGCTTATTTTGGTTTTCCCTTAATCAGTTGCAAAGCTTCAAATATATATATATATTTAAAACTACAAATACCTATGTACATTTTCGAAACGATGATGCATAATTATAATATAAATAATATAATAATATAAATAATAATATAGTATAAATAGATAATTATAGTATAATAATTAGGAGACAATATTGCCTGTTTAAGGAAACATTGTCTGCTAAACGAATATTATTTGCAATTCTAACGGCACATTTTCATATCAGAAATATCAAAACTACATATTTTACGTTAGAAAATGTTGCGTTAAAAACGTTAAACGTTATATTAGAACTATTATTACAGAGCCTCACCTCTGTATTTATGTGTTGCAAAATAGTATAACATTTTATAAGAAAAGTACAAGAGACAAGATCATATTCCGATTTTTGTCTATTATCATTTGATTGTTTTCTACAAATAGCAGTCCAAATCGTGACAAATAAAAATCAATTCTTTAATCTTGCACAGTTTCTGCAACCGCAACTATGGATTAAATCCCGAAGAGCTCCGGAACCCGAAGGATTTGTCGAACACTCCTCCAGAATAAACACGCTTGCAGAGAGACCTTTCCTGATAGTCTGGAGAGACGGTGAGGTGCGTTCAATCTTCATGGATACCGCAGAGAGCCTCTCTTCGGCGAACATTAAACGTGGGGTGGCGAGTTTGCTGCAATATAGAGTGTTTGATAATGACATCGAAGAACGAGACGCTTCCGGTTTCTGCTTTGTAACGTACCATTCCCTGGGACCGAAAACAATAGGGAAACGAAAAACATCCTGCGAAAAAAGTACTCTACTACCAAAGAAACGACACTCGAATCCGTTGTTCAGCGCGAAGCTTGCGAGCACTCGAAATTCAACGTATGAGCTCACGCCACAGCTTTTGCCTAGCTTGATTCGCGATGAGGAGAGACATCGAATGTCACTGAATGCCAGATCGGAAGTCGGTACTATCATTACATCGAAAAGGACACTGGAATTGCTGCCTGGCACACTTAGCACGAAAACTGTGCTAGCTGATACCTTGCAACAAGCTGTCGCTGCTGTACAACCTAGATGTAGAGAAACGAGCATCGAGCTACAATTGGAACCGTTCTCGTGCCCTGACAACGGATGTCCGACGGTTAGTTTGTTCTTCTTTTTCTTTTTTTTTTCAGTTTTCTTACAGAATGTACATTTTTATAGTAATCCTAGAATCCTAGAAGGGCAAAAAGGGGAATTTCTTAAATTAATTAATTGCTAATGTTAATTTAAGGGAATGTTTTGTTCTGTATATAAGTTAGATGAAGGGCGCCCAATTGAAAAAGGAAAATTTCACTATTTTAATGAAAGAATTACATTACCGTGCAAAAAAAGAAAAAAACAATCACAGGTTTCTCGTTAACTCAGTAATCTTCATTAGAATTAAATGCAGTTATATAAATTAGTTATATATGAAATACTATTGAATCTTTAGTTAATAAAGTAAATATAAGTATATAAAGTAATATCCTAAAATAGAAGGTTTTTTGATTTTTTATTTGAAATGCAAAAATTGTACATCTAAGAGGAGGAAGGATAATATATGTACATATGATGGAAATCATATATGGTGTAAAAAATTTAAGAACCGTTGTTATAGGTGCTATATTAATACTAACAAAGTATGTTTATTTATTTTTTAGATGTTAGAATGATTGATACTTGTGTTTCTAGTTACATTGAAACATTTGTATAGATTTTACGAAGTATCATATTCATTATATATAAGAAATGATGCATTATATATAAGAAATGGTGCGTTGAATTTAGCAAAACATTTAATCTCAATTATAGCAAAATGCAATAAATTGACACTAAAAAAGTATTGACCAATTAGTTATGCATAGTTAAACTTCTAAATATGTATTTATAAATATTACCTTTTTTGAATGAAAAAGTTGCCAACTTCTGTTCAAGATAGTACCAGAATTAATTTATTCTAATTTAATTAATTGGTTCTCACCACTTTATAAACATTTTATATCAACATAAAAACTAATCTTTCGCCAAAATCAATAGTTGACCGTAAGCCGGAAAATTATCTCCGTCAGTCAGCAAGTTTATTTGTCGAGCGTTTCCTGGTCTTTGTTTTCTTACGAGTAATCAATGACAAATGAATGAGACAGGAAATGAAAGACACGTCATACTCTACGAAATGATTCTTAAATAAAGAATTTACACAATAAAATAAAATATGTCACATGAATCTTATTTTAGTTTTCAAATTGCACATATTAGTACGCTCAATCTAATGTTTACAAAAAATATCTATAAATATGAGTTAAACAAATTTTTGATGTGATTTTTATTTTAATTGAAATCTATTGTATATTCAATTGAGCTGAATAATGTACACCATCTACAAAAAAGAACTCAGAATTTGAGAGCGAGTGCAGAAGCATGCAATAATATTATATTATAAGCACATTGAACATTTTCTTCAATTATCTATAACAAAGATATGTGATATTTCATATGATATTTTTACGTATTTAGATTCTTAAAAGCATCTCTTAAAATATAGATATGTATCTAATTCAAAATCATCAAAATTTTCAAAATTTTTGTTGGTTGAAATTAAAATGAAAACATCTTTGAAGAGAGCAAACTCGGGCCAAAATAAAGATTTTATGTAATCATGTTCTTTATAAATTTGTAAGCGTTTAAAATACCGATAATTTTTCATTTAGTGGCACAAATATGCATTTATAAGAAAAGTATATAATTTTTAGATATATAAACTACTTCATTTTTTGTAACGACAATTAAAAATATTGAGAGATTTGTAAGATAAAAAATTAAAATCATAAGAAATAATCAATTAGAAATAAAAATTCACATTTATCTTTGTATTACATCAGATCGAACAAACTATCGAGGAGTATCGTAGCAGTTTGGAGAACAATGCTGTGGGTACAGGGAAATCTGCCTCGGCGTTCCTCAAATTAGTACCTCTAGTGAAATCAGCTACCCCAGATGAATTACTGAAGCTTCTGAAAAGCCCACGATATCGTCAACTAAAACTTCAGCTGTTGGACATTTTTGGTGCGGCCTCAACCCTAGCAAGTCATCAAGCAGCCATGAAGATTCTTCTACAAGATGAAATAGGAGACGAAACCGAAAGATACTTTTGGGCACTCTCCTTGTCTCCAACGCCAAACGCAGACATCGCCAAAAATATTCTCAAGCGATCGGAAGAAACAAATCCGAACGATAAAGTGGCAGAAACGATAGCTTTAACTGCAGCAGCGATTGCACGTCATTTAGAGTCTTCAGGTGCTATCGAAAAGACAAGAGAAAGCTTGGAACTCGGTCTCGATAGTTGCACAGGGGAAGAATGCAAATTGAGATTCCTCAGGGCTCTGAGAAATTTAAGAACCAAGACTGCGATCCCGACGCTGTTAAAATTTGCAACGAGTGAGAGCAAAGCCCTCAATGTTGCCGCTTGGAAGGCTCTAGCAGAGCTACCCAAAGATTCATTAACTCCTGAAGTAATAACAGCAGCCAACCAAGTGTTTTACGAGATAGGCGGACCTAGGAGAGACAGTAGTTCCAGGACTATAGCCTTGGATATTATTCTAAAGATGAATTCAACGGAAGAAGATATTAGATACTTGGTGAAATATTTAGCAAGCACAGATCCTGCCTACGAGGTTAGGAAGTATCTCAGTCAACGTTTGGAACAACTCTCTGAAAAGGATCCTCAATTTGCTAATAAGCTGAATAAAGTTTTGAGTACCAGTGGAATAGATATCATTAATTACAACGTATATGCGCAAAAAGGTCTTAGCACGGCGTTCGAGAGGAACTTCCTAAGATCGGTAGATAGTAACGGGTCCTTAGTAACCGTCCAAGAGATTCACTCGGGCTTACTGAAGCGTGGAACAGTCGACGTAGTTCTCCAAGCTGAGAATCATGAAAAAGCGTTATTCTCTCTTGGTCTGTTCGCTGGAGGTTTAGGAAGCTTCGTTTCGACTTCCAATCAAGAAGAGGATACTCAGGATGACGAACCAGCTACCGCAGGAATGGAGCTCGATTTCCTAGGCGTCGGTATTAGACCTTTCGTTTTCTTCTCTGGTCAAGGGGAACTCATGGGACATGTCTGGTCTGGGACAGCATCCGAACGAACTCCAGCATATCAGGCCCTGGCTACTCTCCATAATTACAACGAGTACATTCCATTGGCCTCGGGAATTATAGCGGAAGTCGATGTCCAAGGTGCGGTTAGTTTCGATTTGGCTGGACAGATCCAGCTGAGCCTATGGTCCAGAAACGCTCAGTCGCTGGTGGATCTAAAGGCTGGTATCATGATCCAGGGAGGAACAAAGGTACGATCTGACTTCGTACAGAGCATGGCTGAGTTCTCCATGACGATGGAACCAAAATTAGAGCTGGCTACCGACGTGGATTTCTCTGGACCAGTGGCTCTGTGCATGAGACTTAGCCAACCAGAGAACGTGGTAAAGTACCAAGTGTACAAGGTGGAAAGAATACCCGGAAGTAGGCATAGGCTGAGAAAAACTAGGAGGATGAAACTCTACAATCCTGGAAGATCTTATCTGTTAAACAGAAAAAACAACGAGATGTGTTCGAAGATGTTCAGTTAATCATCGAAAACTGTTTGTTTACGTTTGTCGTGAGAATTTTATAGAGTTTATGAAGATTTAATTTCTCCTTCCATGCGTGTCTGGTGCATCGAAATAAGGGAACTACGTGTTAAATGAGGAGAGTGCATTTTTCTTTAGATACTACATACGTAAGTATTTGATATATTGACAATTCTCAGATGAAAGAAAATTTTATTCCGGTGAAAATCGCTCCAAGTCATTCCAGTTTTACCAACATGGTCATTTAATTTTTTATGGTTGAATGATTAAATAATACAATTGAATATTTATACTTTTTTGATATAGATAGCTAGGATATATTAAATATATAATACGCTAAGCATAAAAAATAAAATGATTTTTAAAAATTTTACTCAGAATATCTATGATATACAAAATATTATTTGAAAATTGATATTAGCAAATGATTAAATTCAATAGATTATAAAGGATTAAAGACATATCAAGTTACTTACTTTTCTATAATATATAATAACTTTTTTATAATTTATAAAACTTGTATAATGCATGTTTTGTATCAGAAATATTTTTATTCATATATTGCCAGTTCAGAGAATATTATATGTTGAAAGGTATTATATTTTATGATATATATATAGAGAAAGAAATGAGAGACGATATAGAATAAATCAAAAGGAACGAAAATTGCGAAAGCTATATATTTTCTAGACCAAATAAAGATATTTTAACTTATTCGTTCAATTTATTCGGAATAAACCGATGTTAAAATCTGGTCGAAACACAAATCGATGGAATAAATTGATCGAAATGTAACAATTTAAGAAATATATTTACTTCTCATTTTTAAGAATTTATTCTAATCCTCATCTGCCCTTCATTTTAACTTAATTCGACCTTTGGTATCAAATTGACACAGTGATAAAAAAATAGAAAGAAATAAACTGCGAAGAAAGAATAAATAATTAGATTTGCAAATTCTTTTATTGACAATAAAATTTGTATTCAATTATATGCAAGATTCGCATAAACCCTCTCACGTATAAGTCAATTTTATGTCGTGATTTGATTTTCTCTAGTTTTGTCTAACATTACGATCATTTGTTTTGGATTTTTGCTTGTTATAATTATGTTCAAAACTATAAGTATCTATACATATCTTTGGAAAGAATGAATTATAATATACCTATGTAATATAATAGCTAGTAGGCAATATATATACTCTCTGTTCAAGGGAAAAATTTTAACGGTATATTTTGTTATTAAAATATCTTAAATATGTGTTATATTTTATATGTTACAGAATATCGAAAATATATATTATATGTTACATTTATCATGAAATATGCGGGTTTGTTACACTTTATTTATAGCAGTCAGTAATGCAAAAACTATTTTAGAGTACCGGGAAAATACAGCACTTCATCTTTCAGAAGTATTAAATTATATCGGAAATTTCTGTTACTAAAATAATAACTCAGAAATGACAAAAGTACTGAACAAACCGATATTAAAATCTGGTCTATACTCGAGCGTTCATCAATCGTTTATGTCTGCAATTATTTCTATGCAACCATCGCTACGTCTTCACATTTTTTGTTATAGCAAAAAATATACATTTATTTTATTAAAACATTTTATTTTTATATTTTTTAAATTTTATATATATATATATATATATATTTTAGTTATTTCTTGTATTATTTATCATATTTTATTCATATTAATTATATCAATCATATTTTTATTGAAGAAGAATTAAAACACGAAAGTGTTTGTTTTTATTAGTTTCATTAGGGATGGATTATTTGAAACTTCTCGAAACCCAAGAAACCTTTTTAGTGATTCGAAACTCAAATAAGAAAAAAGTATAAAATTATTGAATAAAGAATCATTTGCAGCGTGAATGAAGAATGTTTGATTGTATATCTCAAATACTCGGTACTAAATACTTCGCGAACTCGAGCTTTGTTTTTAAAAATATGTAATCGATCGTTCTGCAATAATAATGTAAAATATCCAAATCTACAAAAATTATTTAAAAAAAAAAAAGTATCTTGTTACTTATCATATTCTAAAAAAAACTATTGAGTACATAAGAAAAAATAGATTAGATCCGAAAAGAATTCGAACGAATTTGATGTTCTTAGACAAAAATCGCGATCAGATATTTCTGTTTGTATTTTGTTTAACTGCGGCTAGCAAAAATTCATGTAAAAGCGTTGACACACCAATTCTTAAAACAGGAAATTCATCTTATTCATCTTTATTTCGAGTGTTTCGAAATCTTGCAAAGTTTTGGATTCGAGATTAAATTTAAATTAGAATTGTAAAATTAGTTTCGAATCCATCTCTAGTTTTAAGCACCTCAACGACAGCCACACTCGGCGACAACCATGTCCTCGTACCCGTATTGATAAGTCAAAGTCCCGCTGGCGTCCAGATAAAGGAGACTAGTAGGCGCTAGTCTCGTCGGCACGCAGCAAGCTCTCCCAACTGGTTTGCTACCACCTTCGACACCCTGGAGAGCACCATGCACCAATGTCTGCACAATCGCGTGTTTCGTAGGACTGAGATGATCACCGAACGGATAGAAACACTTCCCAGAACATTGATAAGCCTCGTAACCGGGCGGAGCAACGACCCATTCGTCATACGCGATCAACGCGAAGTCCACGTAAAGAGAACGTCGCCTGCATGAATTCTTTCTTCTTCTTCGAGGGCCGTCGCTTTCGTCCGTCTCCTCTTCCTCAATGGAACGCCTTGGACGCTTTTTCCTCATTTTGGTGTAGCTCATTAGCAAGATTGGACCGTCCCCATAAGGATGGTAACCAACTCTACCGTACACTCGAAATCTGACAACACTACCAATCCTTGTGGCCACCGCAGATGTAACGTTGAAGGCCCTCCAACTCTCATCCTTTCTTGACCGGCAGCTTCCAGGATCATCCACATAGTCCAAACGCACTCTGAGAATGGACCCAGCTACGCCAAGTAGCTCTGCTATCTCCAGAGCTTCGCCTGGGTCAGAGTGAGGCACTGAGAATACTAGAATCCTGGCCCCGTCTTTCGTTGGGCCTGACACGCGGATCGGCTCTAACGCTCGAACTATGTCGACATCTGATCCGCGATGGTACAGCTCCAACATATACTTGGATACGACTCCTCGATACTTCCTGTGACCTTTGTCGATGATTTTCCGGTTAGTTTTGTTGGAGAACCGACGGAAAACAGACGGAGAAGAGGCTGGGATGGAGAGATCGAACTGGATTGATGCCTTTGCGTGCACGGTTGAAGTTTGCCAGGAAAGGGAACTTGTTTTCCATAATCCGTAAACGCAGAAGGTCCCAACGAAGAGTAAGAAGATGTATTGAGAAGGATTCATCATCAGAAAGTGCTAAGCAATTTTGATGATAGTTTCAGAGATTTTTGTGGAGACGCGATGGAGTGAAAAATCGATGGAGGATTTCGAAGCGAAGTCGATCAGACTTAGCATCGAACTGCCAACGAATCCTTGACCGGTGGGCGAGGTTGAAGGACCGCTTTTAAATAACTGCCAATGAGAAGGAGAGATTCGAAATTGCCGCTGGAATGTCCTTATCATCGACAGACTGCCACTCGACTTCCAGACCTCGAGAGTTTGATCATGCGCTGAGAATTATAGTGGTGCGTGTCTGTCCAAATTTGAAATACACGAAATGTCATGCAGGTAACTAGTGATAACCAAAATGGATAACCAAAATACAGTCGAACTTCGATAAAGTTGAATTACAAGGGAGTTATAGAGGTTGTACAAGAGGTTGTAAAGTCTCTTTACAATTTCAAAAATTTATTACAAAGGCAAATGAAAAGACAGATAAGTGGAAATTATTACAAAATGTGACGTATATATTTAAGTTTTTTTTTACCTAATTTAATACACCTCTATATAAGCACATCAAGACGGTACTCGATTTGTTACAGGATCGATGTTTTTGGTCGACCACTCCTCCTCGCTTTATCGAACTAATGGTGCTCATATAGAGGTGTATTAAATGAAGCAGAGAAAACTTAAATGTATACGTCTCATTTTGTAATAATCTCCACTTATCTATCTTTTCATTTGCCTTTGTAATAAATTTTTGAAATTGTAAAGAGACTTTATGGACACCCTGTACAATTTATAGCTAATCGAGTAAAAGAGACTTAACGGACGAAAATTCAGCTTATAAAGTCTTTGTACGAATATGTAGTTTCTAACTTAGCACTCGAATGTCCAAAATATAAATTGCGTTATGTTCTTATTTTTTTATAACACTAGGAAACGGAAGATCAATGTTTTTCTTAGTTAAGAGCCAATAGTAAAGTAAAGTACTCCTTACGACGTTTCGTGATCGGCTGTAAATCTGTGCACGTGTTATTTTTTAAGTTGGAGCGTTGGAAAAATTTTCGGTGTTGAAGTTTTGACGTTGACACGTTATCACTGTCAGTTTAACATGTTGGTCCGTATGTCAGCCGTCGACAGTGTTTCGATAAAAAAATAACAAATTACATACTCATAGTTTCGAAATTAAAGCTCGATGTCGCTCCTTGACACGTCCGCTGTCACTATGATGGTCAATGGGATACAGTTGTCGAAGCACTGTCGACGAATGGCACACGGACCATTACGTTGACGACGTTTCGGCAGTGACAGCGAATCATATTCCTACGACATCAAAGACTCTTTGCCACTGATGATGAGAGCGTGTGACTGTGTCGGTAGTTACCAAAAACTAGGATCATCATAGTCCTAAGATTATTTTAGTGGTAGCAGACGTGTTGAGTGACCCTGGAGATCGAGGTACACAACATTATTATAGACTGCAAACAATTGCTGATCGCAGAGCTAGTGATTCTGTAAGATAAATTACAAATTTGTAGAAATAAGGAAATTTATTTCTACAAATTTGTAAAAATTTGAGTGATAAATAAAAGAACTTTGATGTGGGCTTTTAAATTCAAAATACAAACGCAAGAGAAATATGTGAATATGTGTTTTCTGTAAGCTTTTTATTTTTTTATTATTCTTTTCAATTTTTGCTTTCACAAGGGCTCTGTTATGCTCCTGACTTTGTATGTATGTATAGTAACAATTGTCAGCCTCAGACGGTACTGTACAATCGAACGTGTCTCATCCGGATACGCCGGCCTGATGAGACGGCTGATCGTCTCGGAGACGATTGCGTGGTCCCGTGACGTTTACGTCGAACACGTAACACGGGAACCCGGCAATATCATCTTGTAGAAGCGGGGACGCCCCCCTCCGGGGCCCCTACGGCGCTCGAGATGCCGGTCCTGGGCCCGTGTGGAAATAATAATATCCACACGGCCCCGGACCATGCAATATTAAGCTGAAGCGACCCGAGCCGCGCTCGTCCTCTGAATTTAATAACCTCGCGAATTTAAGCGCACGCGGCGTCCTACCGGTCATGGCCACCATGCCGGGAGCGAGGCCACTAGGCCCGGCCACATTATTACGATAATACTCTAATCACCTGGTCAGCAGTAGTTAATTATTTTTGTATATATATTTATTTATTTAATTCACTTATATAATGATATCACAAACAATGGGGGTGCCAACCATTGCTGGCTGTGACTTGAAGCCATTACATTGTCTATGCGAGGACAAAGCGCCATATGCAGCCCCCTCCCTGTCTCTATTGTAACATTAAAAGAATGGCGACGAGGCCGCCCGTGACGGGATCAATGTATTAACCCTTTGAAAGAATTTGAAACAGGAACGAATTATGAAATACAAACGTTTATTAGATAGAAACCCCAGATAACCAAGATATTGTTAATTAAATATTTGAAGTTTATTTTTTATTCTATATCTTTTAGTATTTTTTTATATGTGCAAGTCAGTTGAACTCGAGTACAGTTGACAAATTTTCACGAACAAAACGAAAAAATGTTTTTTCATGTTTTTATATATAATTATTTTTGATTGTTACACCAACTGTGATTGTATCACCAGTTACATGACATCCTATAGGTGTAACATTCCTTGATTGGTTCTGATGACGGGATTTTGTTTGTGGATAAATAGACAGTTCAAAGTGTATTTATACTAACAATAAGATTTTCCTTTTACCAAATGAGATAGCTCATATCTTCCAACGTTGATTTTGGAAAGATTTCAAAGTATCATTTGAAACGACGGCTGAAGATTAGACCTATCAAGGTACTAAAGTGTATCAGAGAAATTATAAAATGAGAATATACATAATGGAAATATACATAAAATGGGAGAAAATTTTTTATCCAACAAAAAACACAAGTTTTTATTCAAATATTTGACAGAAAACTATTGAAATCTCTAAAAATGCGTCATTGTAAATCGATAAAATTTCTGTGATAGAAAACTAAACTACGAAATGGTTGTTTTGCTTACTTTAGTATTTTAGTATTACCAAATGTAATATATTTAAAACATAGAAAATCGCAATAATTCTCTAATTTATCTTTCACGCAACAGAAATAACTGTGGATATTTGTGCAAATTTACATTTTTGAATATATAAAATTGTTTTACGTACGAAATGTTATAGAGAACATTCTACACTCTGTCTATACTTTTCCATATCATTCGACTTTATATTTCAAAATTTCAATTTTTAAAATTCCCCATAAATGCATAAAAATCCTGTCAGTATTTCTAAAACGTACAGAACAGAGAATCGTATCAACTTTCACACATTGTAGTCGCAACAGGTCATAAATCAATCCTAATCCTTGCTAAATCCTCTAGGAATTCAGCGCAAGCGATTTGTTGGAAGTTATAGATCCAGGATGACGTTCAACGACTAATCTACATCTACATCAATCTTTCTAATCTACGTCATTCTTTCTAACAATAAGCAGTGCTCGAACAAATCGCAAACGCAACGACACCCTCGCTGATGGCGTTCAGTAAGCGGGCTGTCATCGTTCGCTAAAAGAATTTCTACCGAACGCTTTCAGCCAGCTCGTTCGACGTCCGAGTCTGACGAGTTGATCGATTTTTTTCACGGCTGGCGATCATCCAACAAGTTCGGCGGCTGTCGAGGACGACGCTCGCTCCACCAGCAGTCCACTATATTTAAATATAGTCGAAGATCGTCGTAGAGAGGTTGGACGAGCGGCTAGTCTTATGTGCGAGCCACTGATAGCAGCCGCTCCTCTCGGTGGAGCTGAGGCAGCAGTAGTGCTTCTGACAAGCAAAAGTGATCGAGAGGTGAGCTGCGGACAGAGCGAAGAGGTGGTTGTGTGGACACGGTGGCCGGGTACGGGCCATCGTCGAGTCTCGTTTCGAGTGATCGGTGCGCGCGTCCCGGGCAACATCTTCGACTGAAAAGGAGCAGGACGTCGGCCCGCGGCCGTTCGCGCGCAACCGGGCATCATCTGTGCAGCGATTTCCCAATCGTCTCGAGATTATGACGTCCAGTTGTTTCTCCCCTCCGCCGCTTCGACCACCGATCGACCTCAACGATCAGTCCGACACAATCAAGGTGGAGTGTTCTCTTGGTCCCCCGATTTTTCGTTAGCTGTTATTAGCTGATCGTCTTACGGGATGTCGGGTCAGATCGTAGGAAATCGTAAATTGATGAACGACTGCTCGTATTACTCGTTTGTCTTCGTGGCGAGACATTAGACCGTAGAAGGGTCTGACGAAATCCACGGGCCAGTCTGTTCGATCTCGAAACACGCGCGCGTGTGGGTGGGCAGACTTGTTGCACAAGCGACTTGGCGACATTGAATGCTAGAAATGAAGGAAGAAAGGTGAAGAGGAAAGCAGGAGAACGAAAGGAGGCATTGAAAGATGATCTCTCTCTCTCTCTTTCTCTCTTTCTTTCTCTTTCTTTCTCGCTCTTTGTAGGTGAATCGTAATCTCCAAGTTGAGGGAGGGTAGTTCTTCGAACGTGTGCCTACGTGCCCCGTCGTACGGCGTGTCCGATATTCTTAGATTTGCACTTGGCATTCCGTTATATAATGACGAAAAACGTACGTCGGGCTTCACGTGCGCAAACGTGTGTGTTTTGCAGGGTACTGACCTGATCAAAGTGTCGAGGTTTTATAAGGACAGCAAGGAGGGAAAGTTCGTGAGCTTCTTGTACGAGGACACGAGGACCTTGTACGACGGTTTCCGCAAAGGCGCCAAGGTGTCCAGTAAGTTTCAGCTTGTCGCAGATGATTTCGTTTTTGGTATTTTTTTTTTTTTTTTTTTCAACTCTTTGGAGCATAATGGATTTTTTTTTTTTTTTAACATGTATAGTGGGTTTTTAATATTCTAATATAAATAGAACAAGTCTTTTACTGTGTCTTTTACGTGTTCAATCCATAAATATTCAACCCACCTTGGCAAATTGAAATATGTAAATACAGAGGTTCGTATTACGTTCGTATTACGCTTTTTCGACTTATAATAATCTACGTTTCGGTTTTGATCATTCTATATATTTAACAACTGAAATAATTATATTTTATTAACATTTACCGAAAATGATCCATTCATAAAAATCCCATAAAAATCTTAGAAACTTACAAACTTACAAGCAATAAAATATAAAGAAAGCTTGTATTAATTAATCGATTAAAGTATATTATACTACAGTACTATATTACAGCGTTATGGATTTCCTCCTCTTCTTTGTGCTTTCATGTTTCTGATACAAGTTTTACACTCGAGTTTGTCGGTAGTTTCAATGTTAAAATAAAACGTTTTACAACTCGCTCAACTACAAAAATTTTTTGCCGAGAATTAAACGATTGCTACAGCTTTTAAGTGAGGGCTCGTTCCGTTAGATGTTAATAAATTTTCATTATCGCAAATACGAACGAGCTGCCTTTCGTATTAGTCATTGGCTGGTCTTCTTGACACTCAGACAATGGCCCCTGTCTTGGCTGGCGAGATGGACCAAATAAACCATACCAGTGGCTTCATTACAACGAAACCCTGCTCAGGGCGAAGAATTTCGGTTCTGGCCTAGTGTCTTTGGGGCTGATGCCAGGATCGCACGCGCTCGTGGGTCTTTACAGTCAGAACTGCCCAGAATGGATTCTCACCGAGCAGGCATGCTACACGTACTCTTTGGCGGTAGTGCCTCTGTACGACACGTTAGGCCCTGATGCCTGTGCCTTTATCATCAACCAGGCTGAGATCAATCTGGTTGTCTGTGAAAATGACAAGAAGTGTAATTTGCTGCTCGACAAGGCACCGAGGTACATGCGTAATATCACTTTTACCGGAATTTGGAAAGTGTAATTTTTGTTGAATGTAAGCTTCCTCAAGAATGTGACATTGATATCGTTTGGAAAGTATGATTTCATCGAGTGCTCTTTGTATTAATCCACGAACAGCCAATTGACCCGTGTCAACGTTCTCGTTGTATCGACTTTTTAAATTAGTTTTTAGATACGAAACATCATCTAACAATGATTACAATAAAAAATAAAAATATTTTATAATTGTATTATACCACGTTATGTTATTTTATTACATAGTGTTGCATCGGGTCAAAATGAATCAGTATCGGCTGAACAGGGGTTAAAAAAGATGTTTTAACAAACCTTTAACCAAACAGTAATACAAATTACAATTCTGATTACAAGAGAATGTGATAGTTGGTTTGTAGCAGTGGCAGCGTGCCATGAATGAATATAAACGCATTTTCTACAACATTGGTGCGCGACACAATTTACAAATCTGGTGTGGTATTGGAGACAGATTTAAACATTTCCGTGCAATGTCCTGAAACATTCTGGCACGGTAGACTAGCATGACTTTTTTTTATCACAAGTTCATGCTAATGTTGCAAACTAATGTGTAAACTAATGTTGTAAACTAATTTATAAAACAGCTACAATTTTTTCCCCTCGCCATTAACACATTCATTATTTTTATATTTTTTTTCTTCACTTTGTAAAATAAAGTTTATAAAGTTGTCTCAATTTCTTCTACTTTTATTCAGTTTCAATTAGTTTCGTAATGTCGCAAATGATTACATTATTAATTTATTTATTATTACGTTATAAAAATTTAATTTTATTCTTATATTTTTTCTGTCGAAAAAGTTAGCAATAAAATTAAATCAAATTAAAAATTAAACAATGTGGAACCTAAATTTTTATGGCTTCTAATGTCTAATTAATATAACAACTTATTTTAGTGGCAATCAGTAAAAGCGACACAGGAATCTGAATTTAAAGCAACGTGAATCAGCAGTAATAAAATGTTTCTTTTATCTTGCTCACCTCGACATTTCACACAAAAAAGATGACAAAGTTATTCAAACATAAAATACTGTGGTTTGTGATTTTTTTTCAATAAAATCATTTTTTTTTTTTTGTCGAGTTTTCTTGCAACATTGTCTTTTATGTATCGCGTTCAAAAATATATCAAAAGCTAATGCGAGGCGTATCAAAAATTTTTTGCAAAATGAATATTCGAAACAGAAATAAAAACAATCTTCAAGTTACTATGATATTTTCTAGTTTATTCAGTTTGAAGTGCCTTTTTCTCAATTACGAAATAACATAAATGAATATGTTCATCGCGATTTAAAAAAAAACTCGGAAAAAACAATATTTGTTGTTCGAAACTTTGTGTCCTGAAAAACATTTTTTTTTTTTTTTCTTCGGTAGAGAATAACAAAGATGTCAAAGTAAGCAAGATGAAAGAAACTATCGTGTGTGAAGTGAATTTTACTTATCACTCCGTTACTTCAGTTAAATTCTGATCTGCTGCTTCAGATGTCTGAGGAAAATGGTGGTGATAAAAGAGACGAGGCAAGCGACGATCCAAAGGGCGAAGAACCGCGGCGTCGAGTTGCTCAAGTTCGACGACGTGGAGCGTTTAGGCGCCCAGAAAAACCATCCGGAAGTGCCGCCAAAGATGACGGATCTGTGCACGATATGTTACACATCCGGGACCACGGGCAACCCGAAAGGCGTGATGTTAACGCATCAGAACGTGATGGCGGGGATAAGCGCGGTTCTGACACAATTAGGCGAGCACAAGCCCTCGTACAAGGACACGATGATCAGCTTTTTGCCCCTGGCACACATGTTGGAACGGTGCTGCGAGAATGGCATGTACATGGTGGGCGCGTCCGTGGGCTTTTACAGCGGTGACATCAAAAGGTTGCCCGAGGATATGAAAGCGTTAAGGCCTACCGTGATGCCAGCGGTGCCGCGGCTGTTGAATCGAATGTACGACAAGGTGAGTACACCCATTTATGAAATTCACTTGATTTCTCAATCAAGCTTCTCGTGCCTTCCTGTTCTCGACTCGTTCTATTCGCCATCTAACGTTGGTAAATAACGTGTGCCAACTGTATCTATCTGTATTTGCACAGTTTAAATCTGAATTTACGTTTGAAGATTGTTCGTACAGAGCGTAAGGTAACTTGCCATGAAACACAATGATTTTCAAACACAATGATTAACGATGTTAATTAAAGTTGAAGTTTGATTTTGTAAATGATTAATACAGGTAATGGTAGTTCGGTAGTTAACCACAGGGCTATTCAGTGATAATAACATTTTAGCTAGTGTCATCATTGTATCGTTTGTCACGATAGTTTAAACAACAGTTGAAAAATATTTTATAAGATGCTTTATAAAAATTTTTGATTTCACAAAGGCTTATTCGGCACTTTCGAATCTTCTGACTATCACTTTGAACTGATTAAAAAATACAAGCAACACTGTTTTGTTAATTTCTCCACTTTTGTGATTAAGTGAATATTAATCAGAGTGGATCATTAGTTATTAGATTAGATTTGCCCTTTGCGTTTGTAATTATTTTCATAAATCGAGCGAGTAAGAACGGTTATATAAATAAAACAGCGATTTAGTAACTTAAAATACCTCGAGACAGCTGTAACTCTTCAAGGAAGAGATTTATATTTATATTTATTACTTATCACTGAGCTTCGGAGCTTTCATGCAAATTCATATTTTTGAAAATGTAATTAGCCTTGGTGGAAAATTGCTTCTAACATTTCAAATATTTTAGGAAGTACTATGAATATTTATACGTATTTTTTTATTTAATAATTAATGATTTAAAATGTCGCAAAAATTGCTGCAAGTGCCCATTTAACGATATCAATTAAATTAACATAGCTTTTTTTTATTATTTTGAAGTATTCTACGTAACGAAAATGCAAATTTTATTTATTCGAATTGTTTACTAATGTAACAAATAATTATATCGAATATTATAGAAAAAATATGCACAATTGCCAAAATTATTAATATATTGACATTTATTTAACAGCTTTTTTATTTAATTACAGTAATCATTTTTTGCAAATAATATTAAGCAGTGCACTGTCACGTGATTCGAATTTCTCATTGATTTTCTACGTGATTCATATTTCCATATTATATTTAATTTTGTACTTTTAACTTTTTTTCTATAGATGCATAAAAATCCAATCTACTTATCACGAAACACAATGGATGTAAAAAGTATTCGTGCGCTTGAAAATTGTTGATACCTTAAATTTTTGTAATCTCATGAAGAAAAATTGTACAACAAATCTTAAGAGTTTATTGTAAAGGAGAGACTTTAATCTTTAAGATCACTAAGGTGGATCGCTAAGAAAAAAAGAACACAAACATCTTTGTTTATATCCTCTTCAAAACGGTGGATCACTAAGAAAAAAAAAAAAAACAAACATCTTTGTTTATATCCTCTTCAAAACGATGTAAAAATATTTTGAAAGAAAACGGACTCGATGTTGTAAAAATAGAGGCTTTGAAACGAGCCCAGCTACATTACTGTATGATTTTCACACACAAAATTACAGCAGTTTAAAATGTCGACAATTTTTTTACATTTTTCATTTTTTTTACAATATAACATTTTTCAACACATTTCACGTAGAATATACTACACCATTAAATAAAGAGTTCTATTCGCCGTAAATATACAGTGTGTTTCGTTTAAGTAAATACGGTGTAACATCTCACAAAGAATTGAAATTATGAAAAAAAAATTTTTATAATTTTTATAAATGTTGATACAGAGAGAAACATTATATATTATTAATGATATTTTCGTAGGTAGAGTCGTGAAAAAAATTTCCAAGATTGACTCTATTTTCTTAATGGAATTATATAATTCTGCATGCATTAATCGATTTATCTGTGCATTTCCTATAAAAAGAAAAAAAATACTTATGTCGAAAAACTATTAACCTAGAAAGAATATTTCAGCTTTAATTTTTCGAAACTTATCATATAAAAAACAAGGAAAGATAAGAGACATTCTTATGTTTATATTAAATATAAATGAAATGCAGGTTAATACTTTCTTATACGAAGTGCTAAGATAAATCGATTAATGCATTTAAAATTATATGGTGAAAGAAAAATAAAGTAAGTAAATATATATCGTAAAAATATTACATTTTATTATATATTTTATATAAAATTTTATATTTATTATATATTTTATATATTTTTTATTATATTTATTATATACTTTATTTTATATATTATATATTTTTTATCATATTTATATATATATTTATATATATTATTATATTTATTATATATTTTATATAAAAATATATCGTAAAAGAAAATGAAGAAAAATTAAAAAAATAAGGTAAATAAAAGAAAATAAAAAAAAAATTTTCTTTCGTAATAGAAAATAAAGAAATATAAAATTGACTTAAAAAAGAAGAAACAATTTGCAAATACGATTCGCGTCGTACACGATGTCTTTTTTTTTTTTTTGCGCCAAGCAATTTTTGCCGAAACATTTTTTCGATAACTTCGTAATCACACGTCTGCTGTTTCCCATTTGAACGAAACAAATCTTCTATGAATTATCCTATAAACAAAATTCTCGGCGTGAACGTGTTTAGGAAATTTTCTGTTTACCATTTGGGTGGCAGTGGCGAGTGTTCAAGTGATATTCTTGGCGATCAAAATTACCGGAGAATCGGAAGGCGAAAAGATATTTTCGAGTGCGCTCATCGAGGTGCAAGGACGGCTGGGACCCGTAGAAAATCGCGTTCTACGGAAGTCGCGGAATTCGCTCGTGACTCGGTTCGTCTCGAACCGAGTGGTAATATATGAGTGGAGTGATATTTTTACGCTTAACGAAGCGTCAAAGTGCAAGGATGCACGCTAAGCAATTTATTCCCGGATAATTTATCGATAGGCAAGGTATCGGCTGTCTTGTATAACGCTTAACGAAGTTTCACTTAACGAATTTCACGTCGGTGGCCAAAAATAATTTTGATGAATTTCACGGTTCGCGTTCACCACTGTTCGAGTTTGATGGACAGTTGCATTAGCGAAATTATCCAGACCCGTTCGTTTCGCGCGAACGTCTGCACATGTACATATATATCTGCGATCATCGTTGAAACAATAAACTTCTTTCGCCGATCTATTTTCAGATATCGATATATTCATTGCGATGAAAAAATTTTAATCTCCATTTTACGCGTGTTTTAAAACATTGTGAAAATGTTTCAATGTAAAATGTTGATTATACGTATAGTAGCGAACGAACGAAAGAACGTTTAAAATTATCTTTGTGATGACGTGAATATTCATATCGCACACTTGTGAGAAACACATGTTTTTTTTTTTAAACAGGAAACATTGGTTTTGAACAGATATTAATTTGTTAATATTAAGAAACAGCACAAATCAAAGTAATATACTTTTTATCTCATCAATATGCATTTATTCATAATAATAAGGCAAAATTCATAATGAGAATATCATAAGATGAACGTCGAAATGAACAAGATTTTTATAATTAAACAACATTTTTTAATGCAATAATTTGTTTAATGATTGCAACAATTTTTATAAGACTGTCTCTGCAACATTTGTTTCTTGAATTATGTTACTTTATTCAAAAAAGATTTGTTTCGTTATTAATATATGTGTACGTGGATTTATACTGCTGTTTAAGTGTTGCAAAATTTAAAAACAAAATTATAACTTCTTCTAGTAAATATTTTGTTCCCAATTTTTGTAATTACTTTTGTATGTTTTTTTTATACCACAGAAATTCGAATTAGTCACATTTAAAGATAAAAATTATTTACGTTTTTGTTTCTCAGAATAAGTAATTTTTTCTAACAAATACATTTTTTTTTTTTACAGTACAGAAATTCATTGATTATATTCAAAACATCGAGATTACAATTTGAGCATTTCGAAGATATTTATTGAGCTTCTATTTATAGTTTGAGGAAATAATAAATTAAATGAGAAATAACATTACATTTCACTTCACGTTTCTTTGGTAGAAAATGACCATTGCTTGATTGTAAATAAAGCATGAAATATACATAACACGCTATGATGATTCAGCCCGGCGATTTATAAGTTTCCGAGATCAAATGTGAAAGACTTATGAGAAACATATATTAATAAATGATATATTATCGAGTCAATGTGTTAAGTGATCCTTGTTTAGATTTCGTTTTCAAATGTTTAATTTTTGACGATTTATGAAATTTCAAACTCCGTTAGACAAGACTTATTACTTTCGTTCCTTTTCCAAAAATCACAAGCTTCTTCCGAGAACTAACTCGAGAACTATGTGAAAACGAGAAAATAGTATTCGTCTTATCGCTGTTATAAAGTAAAGTAAAAATTTTGGCGTAAGCCAAGAATAATTGAGCATAGCTTTTATGCTTTGAGCATTTTTCTAAAAAAAATTTCTTTCCTCTTTAAAATGAAAATGTGAAAATATTTTAGCGATGCTGCATCACTGAATATGAAATGTACACGCGCGTGTATATATACATATATCTGGTATTAGATTTAATAGGGTCAATGTTACGCAATACAGCGCATTAAAAGACAGCACTAACAAATGTAGATCGAGAATGACAGAGATAGCACGACGAAACATGTGGAAGCAATTTCATTTCCCACCGTGATCCTGAAATCCCAGTGAATGGCTTTCGCGCATTTTCGGTTTACATAATAAATTAAATTCCTGATATTGATGTACATGCTTCGCGTGTTTCTTCTTCTCTCACGGGTTTTTTTTTTCAATTTTAGCACTAGACAATCAATACGATAGATTTTAGACTTTCTTTTTTTGCAATTGCTTAAAAGATACAAGTGCTTTTGTCAAAATTAATATTGATTTCTGTTTAAACATAAATTATATAAATCTATTTATATTAAATGCTGTCATTTAAATTATAATGATTTATATGTAGAATATTTTGATGTGTATTAAAGATAATTAAATTAAATGCAAATGCAAAAATAAATATAAAATTTAGTAGAAAAATTTCCGAGATGTAAACTCATTAAGGAGCAAACACTAATATTCTAATTACTTCAATTTCTTTAAATTTTATAGAATTATAAAGTTTAGGTAGAAGACGTAATAAATGAATAAATATTAAGCGAATTCTTGGAATTTCCTTTCAATATTAAAAATAGAACTTTATAATATAAATTGATTAAAAGAAATTGCAAATGTAACGTTGGTTTTCAATTGGTTAAATTTAACAAAACTTCATTATAAAGTATTGAGTATATTCAGGAAATTATATGTACTAGATATTAATGTCAAATTTAATACCTGAAACGACAACAGTATATCAACGTGAATTTATGTAAAACATCACGAACAATGATGTACTCCTATCTATTATTTAACGAAGTAATTTTAAAGTTTAGTAAAGAGATTATTGCTCTAACGCATAATCTCTGCAAGAACACATGATATAAACATATTTACAAAAATAATCGTGGTATGATTTATTATTTAAAGACATAGATTAATGCTAAAAATCTGAAAATCCGCTCTATCAACTAATGCATGTACACTAACTAGAATATTTTCATTTAAAAAAAATATTTTCATTCTAAAAAAAAAAAAAGATATTAAGATAATATTTTGTGTGTCAATTTTTTTTTAATTCTTTAATGTATTTATTTTGAGAATATTTTCTTTCGATTCTGGAAAAAAGACGATAGTAATTACCTGGAAAATGTGTGCATTAATTATTTAACATTCTTCCTATTAGTTTTTTTTAACATATTTAATATTTATAGGATATTTTCATTTTCGATTCCAAGAAAAAACAATGACATCTGCATAGAAAACATATTAATTATTTAGTACTTCTTTCATTAATTAATTTTTGATATATTAAATTATATTATATTATAATATATATAATATAATATATTGTATTAATCAATTATATTATTATTGTATTATATTATATCAAATAGAGACAAAAAATTTCCCAAATGTAAAATCGATACAAAACTCCTGTAAACATCTCTTATCACATAAAACTGACAAACTACTCAACCGAGAACTTTGAAAGCCTCATCACCCGATCACGTAATTCATCGATGCCAGTAAACAGCTTTTCCTCGGCTAAATCATCCACTCACGCACGGCTGAGCTTTAAAAATAAGTATTTCGAAAATAGGTTCCAAATAAACCGTAACAAGCCGTACAAGCCAGAAATTGAACTCCTTCGTAAACAAGTCTGTCTTAACAGTAAGAAGATCAATCTTCAATATTTCGAAGAAGTATCTTAAGTTACAAATGTGTCATGACGATCTCTACATACGACGTTGTTTTGGCATGTTAAGCCGAAAGCATTCCATTACTCTCTAGGAACATACCGATTTTTGACACCGATACTAAAGTTTCATTCCGATAAACGGAGTTCTATTGCAGTTCGTTCGTTCGTTGGTTGCCAGCGTTCTTCGCGTGAATACAGCCCACCAAGCTGGATCGCTCGATCACCGCTACGTTAAATATAGCAGAAATAGTCATCAATCGACATTTTGTGTAGGTCCAATCTGAACTTCAAAGCTCGTGCTTGAAAAGGCTGGTATTCAGCCTAGGTATGCGGGCGAAGGAGGCGGAGATCAAGAAAGGAATCATCAGAAATAACAGTGTGTGGGATAAATTGATCTTTGGAAAGATCAAGAAATCGACGGGAGGAAGACTGAGGTTGATGGTCGTCGGATCAGCCCCATTGGCGGGGAATGTACTCACCTTCACCAGATGCGCTCTCGGTTGTTTGATCGTCGAGGGATACGGCCAGACTGAGTGCGCTGCACCGATCACCCTCACTGTTCAGGTCAGAATGATCCGAGTGCTAACTAGTTTTAGAATGTTAATGTCGATGCATTTATGGAAAATTCAGATTTCTCTCAATGGAATATTTAAAATTTAACTCTCAACTCGTAACTGTTGATTTATAGGTACAAATCGTAACTATAACATGATTTATGTTAGATTATTAGCATTATAAATCATATATTTGTCATCTATTAATATTCTTTTTTATTTTTAGAAATATTTTAAAATTAATTTTATTTTAATTCCAAAACGAAGTAGCTTATTTAATTCTAAATTATAATGGCCTTTCTCTCCCAATGGTACCAATTAACTCTTTTTTTGATATTTAAATCTGCATGGTGGAACATGCAGATTATTTATATCGTGTTGTTTTAAAATCCTGTGCCTTAAAAGATTAATTTTACGTGATTTCTTTTCTTTTTCTTTTCTTGACTAATTCATGCGTTGACTAATCAATCTCCAAAGTGTTAATAATACTAGAAACAAATAATTTATTTCTTTCGCGGTAACGAAAGATAAATTTGTTAACTATTTAGATAGGCCGTGAAACATAAAACTATAATTTAGACGAATTTATCATCTGACTTGACGTAAATAAGATAAACGAGGCTAACAATAAAAGAGTGTTAATTTTAGCATCAACACATGCTGTTTAGCGATCTTCAGAGAATGACCTGCTATTAACCCTGACAGTAAAGTGCCATTATTCAAATATACGATGCGCGCTAATTTAGAAAATATCAACGTGTTCAATCTCGTTTGAATAATAATAATTATTATTTATTGCTGCAGATACAATAGCGAAATTGTAACGTAAATTTTAATATCTATAAATTTTCTTAAGAGTAATATTAACCAAACTTTGATTTGACAGATTTAACATATTTTGACCATTGTGAAATAATTTTATAATTATTATAATTAAAATATTTAATCTATCACAGTCGATAATCTTATGGTCCATTGTTCATATTTGAGTTTTCTAAACTTTTCAATGAACAGCAGATTGTCTGCTCTCTTAATGTAGCTTTTCGAGAATTTGTATCAATACTATGACTAACTTTTACTTTCGTTAACTCAAAGTTCCAAAGTTCTCTAAAAAAGTTTATTGAAATTCGGTGATCATTCATGGTTCGATTTAGTAGATTATGTAACATCGATAAAACATCGGTTGTGCTAAATTTGGCCAGTTTCAAGCTTTAAATCAACATCCAACCCAACATCTTCAATCTCTAAACTCTGGAAATTTCACATGCGACAATCTGATAATTCTCTTCCATATCATAACGTATCAATGTTAGTTCGTGAGCATTGAATTACGTTTGAGTAAATACTTGTCGTTTAACTATTTCTTACTCGAATAATTTTAGATCAAGAACTAGTTTGAATAATAATTGAATGAACTAATTGAACAATAAGTAAACGTTGATTCGAAGATTCTGAGTTACGTTCGAGTACATGTATCATTCAATTGTTTCTTACTCGAGCAGTTTTATATGCGCGTACAATAAGTGAAATGTAAAGCGGAAAATGTAAACGTGGTATATGTTAACAGACTTTTCAATTTAAAATGGATACGTACATGTGTGTGTAGTTGTGTATCTCTCTGACGAAAGAGCCGGTCAATAAACGTTCCGTGAATAAAAATCGCTTGTGCACCCGTTGAGCTTAAATCATGGACTGTAGTTTTCAGTGAGCTGGAAAAACAAACTATTCTGTATTAAAAAAAAGAAAGAATAAATTATTCAAAGATTTACATGTAAGATTCTTGCAGCGTTCGATCTGTAAATAATACATAGCAATTTAATTTAACTGAAAAAATTGATTAAAAACAATTCTTTCTTTTCTAAATGCAAAAAAAAAAAAAAAAAAAAGAATCGAAGAACAATGACGAACATACGACGAGATCATTCGATTTTGATCGAAAAACTGACTAACTCGAGCAACACGCGTGGTTACTATTCTTGGCATATTTGCAAGTATCGATGTATGTAGCTAGATGAAACCAGCTATTATTTATACGCAGACATAGGTATATTGCTGTCGGGGCTGACTAGTAAGAAAAAATGTTGCAACCACGCGCCAAAGCACGTGGTGAACACGTCAGTTGGTGAACCACCACAATCGGCTGTGTAAATATATCTATAAGTGTCTGTAACTACTGTAAAACGTTGTATCATTCTGTGCAATCATCGATTTCGAAAATCGCACGTTCCTTTCGTAAACGAGTTAAGCTTTAGATATTAAAATTTGAGGATTGTTAATATATTATAATGTATAGTGTCATCATGTATTGCGATATACCGCATAATGTGTAGCACAAAATAAATAATTCCTCAGTTAGTTTTAAGACGATAAGGAATCATTTTGTATAAAATATGCATTTTTCACTGCATTCTAATATAATGTACGAATAGATAATGACATATTCGATGCGCAATAGACAAGATATTTGTGTGATTTTCATTTCAGTTCAATGTAGTTTAAATAGCAGACTTATTGTTGCATTTAAAAAATACGAAATATTCATTTTCGTTACATTTTTTTTTTTTTATAGATATATTTATTTGAGAATTTATTCGGTTTACATAACACGTTACACAACAACTCAACAATATTTGCACTGAATGTTACAAAGCATTTGCTCTTGCAATGAATCTTCAGTTGAAAAGCATACAATATTAAAAATAAAAATGTTAAAAATATTTCTGTTATCTAATAACGAGAATTTGAATTTATCTATATTTATTCGTCGTTATTATAGGGTGATCATGTGCCAGAACACGTAGGTCCACCAGTCCCCTGTTGCTGCATTAAATTGGTGGACGTTCCAGAAATGGATTACTTTGCAAAGAAGAATCAAGGCGAAGTGTGCGTAAAAGGCACCAACGTGTTCGTAGGATATTTCAAAGATCCCGAAAGAACTATCGAAGTTATCGATGAATTTGGTTGGCATCATACCGGTGACGTTGGCATGTGGTTACCTGTAAGAGAAAAACATATATTTCAACATATTTTTATAACACCTGACCTTATTATATATATATATATATATATATTTTTCATTATATAAAATTGATGTATACAATTTATATATTACATTCATTTTTTTTCCATTAAGAAAGATATCAAACAACTCAAACTTAAATTCAATTTACTTTTCTTTTTTTTTTTTAACAAACGGAACACTTATTATCATCATATTAATGTTTAATTATTTCTTCTAGTTAGTAAGAATTAATAACATTCTCCCATCTTACAGAACGGAACGCTTAAAATAATCGACCGAAGGAAACACACGTTCAAGCTTTCGCAAGGAGAGTACATAGTTCCAGAGAAAATCGAGAGTATTTATTTACGCAGTCAATACGTTCATCAAGTATTCGTCCACGGAGAATCCCTAAAATCTTGTGTTGTGGGAATAGTAATACCAGATGTAGATGTTGTGAAATGTTGGGCTGTAGAGAACGGTATACCAGGTACGCTCAGCGTATTATGTGCTAATTCGCAAGTCAAACAATTGATCATGGACGATATGCTTTCGTGGGGAAAAGAAGCTGGTCTCAAATCTTTCGAACAGGTGAGAATAATCATCCGACAGTTTTAAAAACAGTTTTTGTTTCCACTTGTTCCTCCGACGCATAAAAGAAGATAAAGAAAGTTTTATTTTCTTTGAAATATAAATCAAGATATTCTTTAATTAAAAGTATTCACGATTTTTCAACGTAATTACGTCATTCGTTACTTTCGTAGAATAGAAGCGCAAAAGATAAAAAAACTCTGAACATTGTCGCAGAATGAAAAAAAATTCCAAGCAATTTTTATTGTTTGAAAATTATACACAACGCTTGTCATTTTTTGTTGATATCAGGTAAAAGACATTTACTTGCATCCCGATCCGTTCTCCGTGCAAAACGGCCTTCTTACTACTCCAACATTGAAAATGAAGCGACCACAGTTGAAAGAGTATTTCAAACCTCAGATAGAGGATCTCTATCGACATTTGGACTGATCAGACTGAACACTGACTTAAATTCTATCTTCATTAGCATCGGGAACAGCAACGTGAAGAAGGATCGACACGCATTTGCGTCGCATTCACAAAGAAATCACTTCCTCCATCGAGTACTCGTAACGCCGCGATATTTTTATTATATCATTTTCTTCACAATTACACGGCGGCGCAACAGAAACGAAATGAAAGCACCGTTTAGGCTATTAAGTAATTGATAACATTATAATAAAATGTATTATAATTAGGCGCGTCTCGTTTTCTTTTGACTATAATCATCCTTCGATACTTGTCGCGTGTATATTTACAGATTTCTTCGTCCCTATCCTCGTATTTTGATACAGATTATTACCGCTTTTACGATATACATAACGGCATACATAGATGTACATTTTTATCGATAACAATAATTAAACGAACTTTGAATTATAATTTAGTACAAAGTAGAATATTTTGAAACGTGTATATCATTTATTTTCGTAAAATGCAATCGAACATATGTGCGATATGTAAAACGAACTTGAGATTAACGTAATAAATAGATTGCAAAACTGGGCAACTTAAAAAGTAGTGTAGCTAATTTTAAATACTTGGGAATATTTTAATAAATTCCGCTTGTGAACAGTGCTTACTAACAACAGCGATGGATAGATGAACTTTTTATAATTATTAATAGTATGTTAGAACTTCTCTTTCACTGTTTGGCGGCATTCTGTCATATTTAAGCGTTTCTTCTTGTATAATAACGTGAGATCTATATTAAACCGATACGAAACTGTGATTAACATTAGTAAGCACAGAATGCTTAACTTATGATACCACATTCTCCAAACCAATGAAAAGATTAATGAAAGATATTAATAAAATATATGATATGTAACATTCCTTCATGTATAATTTAATAATCCCCTAACAAACATTGTATTTAATAATCGTAATACCTGAAATTGAGTGAATATTAAATATGGCTTTTAAGCCGATATTTTCCAAACAAAATGTTCCTTCTATTCTCGTCTTTAGCTTTTAGATTTAAAGCTATAATATATGACAATGCAAGCAACAATTATAAGCGTTAATGCTACTACTGCTAAAATAATTCTTTGTTGAATGTTTCTAAAGATCATTGATGAAAGTAAACGTGAACCACGGCCCAACTCTGCATCTGTTTCTCGTAACTAAAACAAATAAATTACATTAGCAGTATAATAATAATGTTTATCATGTAAAACTGCAGTATATGATATCCTTACTCTTGTTCTTCCTTTTTGAATTGTTTCTCTTTGCTCGTGTAGTTCTTTTAATACTTGAGAACCAATTTCTTCTGTTTCCAATACCATTCGATATCCATTCTGTAATGTTCTTCCTGAACGTTCTATTTGTTCAGACGCATCTAATAACCTCCTCTTTTGATCCTCTGTAATATTATTATCCCATGAATCTTCCCTACTTATTTCGATACTTTCATCCCTTGCCTTTTTGGCTGATTGAAATTCTTGTGCTAATCGTTTCAATTCTGCTCGATGACTTTCCACTCGACCGCGTAAGCGGTCGCGAGCTGTACCATTCATCCCACGGACTTCCAACTCCATTTGCTCAAGCTGCAAATAAATTAATCAGGAGTAATAGAAATTGTCACAATTTTATGAAGTTATTTAGTTCTCATATAAACAAAGTGATTGAAACATAATCCTCTCGTTTCGCTCGTTTTCATGCGCGTAATGAGAATAAAAATAAAACATTAATTCTAACCCCAAAATCGAAGATACAAATTTCCGAAATTTTTTGCAATCTAAAACTTCGATGGCATTAAAATGACACCAAGATGGAAAAGAATTTTACCAATTCCTGAGCCTCTTCGATCTGCCTGTCCACATCTTGAATGAAGACTTTTTTCTCATCTGTAAATTACGTCACGTGTATCGATTATTGTTGTTTAATAATGCCAGAGCATAGATAGTGTTCACTTTAAAAGCAAACGATTTGCGCTTCACAATAAAAAGATCACTACGATTCTGTTTTTCTCGTACTTACTGCCGCTTTGTGTTCTTATTCTACCAATTTTTGCTGTAATGTCAGCTGTCAAAACGGCGTATTGTTGCTCATAGTTGTCAATGAGTGACGCCATCTTGAACGTATTTCCATTGGAGACGAATGAACGTTTGTTATACCTATATATACGTCAAACGGCTCATGCGTTCTGAAATTAGCTGAGAAAAATATTCGACTTTTACACGTTTCAACAATTTTTTACACGAAAAAAAAAAATGGAAATACATACATAGACTTTTCTTCTATATGTTATTTAAATAAAAAGTAAAGCTGAAAAGCTTACAAATTATAGATGCGGTATTTATCACAAATATTAAATTTAAAAATAAGATCGAATATAAAAATTAGTATTACTTCAACAATTTCGGAAGTTTTTTTTTTTATTAGCAAATAATGGTTTTTTTATATAATTAATTAAATATGAATGCGTTATTATAATTTCTAAATATACATATGTATATACTACAACGTACTGTTCAAAGTGTCTACCTTCTTGTACAATTCTAAATATATACATAACGTAATCTATTTGTTACTTTATTCGTGATAACGCCATATTTATTCATGAGACACGTCATAAATAAATAATGAAAGAATGTAAGTTCGATGTACGAATTTCATACTAAAGAATTAATAAACTATCCATTGTTTATTATTCCATTGAACTGAACAGTCGTAAAAATAAAAGGTTAAATAAATAAAAAGTTAGGTGCTACTGAAATAGCAGAATGAAGTAGTGGATGGCAAAATCGAAATGTGGCTACAAAATTGACACGTCATTGGTAATACACCAATCAGCAGAAGAGTTTAGAAGGTACTGCCAATCGTCTTTGTTGGTTACAGAGCCGACCACGGGCAATCTACTTTCGATTTAACATTCGAAATGAAGATGGCTGCCGAGGTGAGGTGGCTTTTAATTTTTCAAATATTTTGTTTAATTTGTGCGGCTTTCGGCGAGACACCTCATCGGAAATTCGAGTATAAATATTCATTTAAGCCACCGTATCTTGCACAAAAAGATGGGAGCGTGCCTTTCTGGGAATACGGAGGAAGTGAGTAAAGTAGAAACCTAACCAATTACGCGCGTTATAAAATACTGCCGTATGTTTCTTTTTTATAGTCGGCTTTTTGATTATTTAAATGAAATGCGCTATCACTTTGTTTAGAATTGTCGATTTTCATCGGATCATTTCCTTTTAAATGTAATCACGTGTCGAAACGATAAAATTTATCTGATAAAATTTGATGAAACTGTCACGACAGGTACGTGTTTTTATTTACACTCGAAATTAGTATAATTTAAAATTTGAAGGATAATCAATTATTCGAAATGTCTTTTCATATGTAGGAATTCAATTTTATAATTCAATATTATAATTTTATGACATGAGTCTATGACACGACACTTAAATTTATTATACTTTATTTTATAAGTAATCTTTTGTTATTTAATTATTTACAACAAATATTATCCATATTTCAGATGCGATTGCTAGTGCAGAAAATGTTAGAGTAGCTCCATCATTAAAAAGCCAAAAAGGTATGTGAAAAATTAATTTTATTTTAATTATTATTTTAAGCTTTATTTTCTTGTATAATTTATGTTAAATTATAATTAAAATTGTCTCTGTAAATGTAAATAAATATATTTTAAACTGCAATGCGATATTTATTAAGTAACATTCAATGCTAATATAGCAAACATATGTGCAATACAAAATACTCCTTCTGTACTGTAATGTATGTAAATACTCCTGTATTAATAAAAATTGGTATAATATTTGTTTTTCATTGTTATTTTGTATTAAACAAGAATTTGAAATAATATTTAGGTGCAATATGGGTGAAACAACCTGTTACCTTTGATTGGTGGGAAGTTGAACTTATATTCAGAATAACAGGAAGAGGAAGAATTGGAGCAGATGGTTTAGCATTTTGGTACACTGCTGCAAAAGGTGCTTACAATGGCACTGTCTTTGGCAGTTCTGATCAGTGGAAAGGTCTTGGCATCTTCTTTGACTCCTTTGACAATGACAATAAACACAATAATCCTTATATCATGGCAGTCCTCAATGAAGGCACAGAAAGCTTTGATCATACTAAGTGAGTTACATTTCTTATTATATTTTCTTTAGTGTCGGTTAATATTTTTAATGATTGATTCATCTTGAATTTGATACAGTGATGGCACAACACAGTTATCCGCTGGTTGTTTAAGAGACTTTCGCAATAAACCATTTGCAACAAGAGCGAAAATTGAATATTACCAGAACACTTTAACAGTAAGTATATTTATAATTTTTAAAGTATATTTATATATTTGTATTCTTATTTGTTGCTGTACTTATCAGACAATTTTTTATTCTAATTAAAGGTGTTATTCCATAATGGTATGACAAACAGTGAACAAGATTATGAAATGTGTTTCCGAGTTGAAAATGTTGGTTTACCAAAAGGAGGATACTTTGGTGTTTCTGCTGCTACCGGTACTTATTGTTGGAAAGATAAATAAAGATAAGTTAATCTTTATTTCAATATAACTACGACTTTCTATAATGTCCTTCAGGTGGTTTGGCTGATGATCACGATGTTTCACATTTCTTAACACATTCTTTATATCCTCCTGGTCAATTTCGGCCAGATGGGCAAAAAGTATCTCTTGAGGAACAACAAAAACTTAGTCAGGAGTATATGGATTACCAGAAAAAGTTAGAGCAACAAAAGGAAGAATATCGCAGGTAAAGAATATTACAACAATATATTTCAATTATAAAGTATGTTCTCAAAATAATTTTACTTACCAGAGATCATCCAAATGAACAACGCGAAAAAGAAGAATTTATGGAATATTTCGAAACTGATAATCAAAGAGAATTGCGACAAATTTTCGCTGGTCAAAGTCAAATGTTTGATGCTCTGCGCGAACTGAACAGAAAATTAGACGAGATAGTAGGAAGACAAGAAAGATCTTTAAGTTTAATATCTCAACTTCAAGTTGGTGGTAAGTTGGTGATAAATTCTCAATAGATAAACATAAAGTTGAATGAGAAATTCAAATTATATAAAATAAATAGGTGTACAAATGGGAGGTCAACCAGGACAACAAGTACAATTGATCGACACGATTCGTCGACAAGAAGTCGATGCTTTGTTAAACAATCAAAATAATATATTAAATACAGCAAGAGAAATTAAGTCTTTTGTAAACGAAGTATACTCCAAGACTGATACTATTCTTAACAATCAGGCTCGAAGTCCAACCGCTCAGGTCTTTATTGAAGTTTAATTTTGTTAGTATTTGCTTAACGTATCTCATTAAAAATGAATTTTTTAGGTGCAGCCGATGGGATATGATTATCATTCGCTTGTTTCGGAAATGCGAGATGGACTTAATACACTAAAGAGGGATATCAGCCAAATAAATACTAAAATAAGTAATGGAGGATCAGATTGTCCAACAATGAACTGCTTAACAACAACAATGTTCTTACTGTTTGTGGCAATCCAGATGATCATTTTGTTAGCATATAGCATGTACCGGTAAATATTTACTTTATTTTGTGACTTTATTAAATATTTACTTTATGATATGTGTGTGTTTGAATATAAATTGAATTAAATTATCTCTTTGTTTACAGAGACAATAAAGAAGCCCAGGCAAAGAAGTTGTACTAATGTTTGTTTTCAATCCTACAGTGCAAAAGTAAGGATATAAAAATAAATTTCTACCTTTGCGTACTGACTCAATATTTTTATCATTTGTTAATGGTATTTGTATGCATTTTTTGCTGAACATCTGTACAATAAATACATTCTTCATTCACGGTAGATTTACTGCGATATAATAAGGAGCAATCAATTCTCCTGAGATATAAAAAAAAAAAACTTATGCTCAGCTTTGTATAATTCTGAAGTCATTCTGTAGTCATTCTGAATATAACTCAATGCGTCATATATTTCTTGTCATTGTAAACCATAGACATAAATATACATAAAGTGGCAGAAAGTAGGCGCGTGATCTTTAAATTCGACAAATTTTGTCGTGCTTAGATGGTGGTTGTGTATGATATATATTTTTTTATCATTAGAAATATTTCGTCCTTTTTTTCAAATTAGTTTCATTTAAAAAATAATTTTTTTTTTTTACATATTGATTTATTGTAATATTAAAAATTATATATAAATATTTATATACAAATTTTGTATTGATAATTGGCATATCGAGTATCGAAAGCTGAGACAATTTTTTCCTAAGAAATAATCCAATTCTCATCGCTTACGATGTTTGTCGATCTGGTACTACATTCCTTTAAATGATTGAGCGTATAGCTAAGTTTTACGTTTCTAACGTGACAGATACTTAAAAATAAGGAACGCTAGTTATAGCTCTATCGAATTCAAAGTGGAAAAGTGACGTCGAACAATCATTACATTCTTGAAGATCTAGAATAAGAACACTTTTGTTAATACGTACTTTGTAAGCGTATATGGTATATCGAGTAGCAGCGTAGACAGGAACGATTTGAATTATCCTGTCAATCTTATTGCATTTGTAAAAGTTTATTGAAGATTGTAAATGTATAATGAAATATATCTAGTAATAAAATTACTAATTGAAAAAATAAACAAACTGAAATTTAATAAACAAGTTGAAATTCAAAGGATATTTAAAGGATACTTGCGATCATTTGAACATTAAGTATCGATCGATTATATCGATTATTTCGAGATGATTGAATCTTCGATCAATCGAAGTATGATAAAATGAGCGATGTAAAGTGTGCAACGATTTTATTGTGCTTTTTGATGAATTTTTGAAGAATTGAATATGGGTATGTAATTTTTGTGTAAAGTTTTGAAACATACATTATATCATGTTAAATTTTGTCAAATAACTTTTGTATAAATAATTACGTTTTTATTTTCTTCACAACCAAAATGTCATGTTTCATATTATCCAATCCCTTAATAAGACGAGATGGTATTATTATTATAGAAAATTAGAATGTTGCATATATTTTAATGTTTCTGAACACTAGAAATTTAGAAACAAAATTTATTTGAAACGTAAGTAACATGTACATACATACATACATACATACATAAACAATTCAAATTAGATAGTTTTAAATGATCATCAGTTCCATTTTTACTCATAAAAATTCATTGTCCTACTCTCTCATTACTATCTTATAACCATATGCTAATTTATGTTTCTTAATAGTTCATTTTTTATTTTCTGTATAACACATTATTTTTAACTTTTAGACATCTTGACAGCTATATAGTATTAAAATACTTTTTAATATTGTTATTAATGTTTCAAAGTTACACATATACAGATATTAATGAAAATTGTTTACTTATTGACTATGTATACATACATACATATATATATATATATATATATTAATGAAAATTTTTTACCTATTAACTATGTATATATATACATATATATATATATATATATTAATGAAAATTTTCTACCTATTAACTATGTATACATATACATATATATATTATTAGGTAGTATATTTAATAGGTAGAAAATTTTCATTAATATCTGTATATGTGTAATTTTGAAACATTAATAATAATATTAAAAACCACTTTAATATTATATAGCTGTCAAGATATCTAAAGATTAAAAATAATGTGTGATAGAGAAAATAAAAAATGAACTGTTGAGAAACGTAAATTATTATGTATTATGTATGTACGTAACCATATTATAAGATAGTAATGAGACAGTAGAACAATGAACCTTTATGAGTAAAAATAGAACTGATGATCACTTAAAACTATGTAATTTGAATTGTTTTATTAGTATAAAACCACTTTGTTACTAATTTCAAAAATTGTTCTATTTATTAGGCAGTAAATCAAATTTATTTAATATCATAAAATAATTTTTCTAAAAATTAGCATTTTTTATGAAATGACAAATTCAATAATCAGATAAAATACATAGACAAAATGCAATAACACATATTTTATTGTGGTATTATTTTACAAACAATATATTATTTTAATTGCAAACAATATATCGTAATATTATTATTCTAATAATATTAATAATAATTTTAATTTTGAATTATAATTTTCTTTCTCCATTAATGTTTTTATTATTTTTTCTTTCTTTATTAAAATATATTTTAAATTAAATAACTAATATTTATATATCATTTAATTTAGTCTTTTGGTTATTCTAGATTAGTGGTTCTCAACTTATTTTACTTACATACATATTTTCTAACATACATGTATCAGGATGTTATATTTACAAAACAAATAATAATAATAAAAAAAACAAAGAAATGTCTCTTATTGTAGGATATTACTATTGTATATTAATATTTATTTTATTAAATAAAAATTCAGTAGTATTTTATACAGGATGTATCGGTTCAAACAGTACAATGTGTGGATTTTTCTATGAAAAAATAAATCAAAAATGTAGAGTAACGATTTTTTTATTTGAAGCTTTATTTACGATAAATTTAAATTTATGTATTTACCATGCTTTCGTCTTCTATATGCAAAAGATTGTACATCACTGGTCTAGTAGATCACACTATACATTTATGTTTTGACGTATTGTGATCGATATTGTTTAATATTACATGTCAGTGAAAGTCTCAATGCAATATCTATATATATATATATATATATATGTACATGCGGTTACTATATCATATATTATTGCGATAATTTCAACGGTACTAATAGATAAAAACGCACTCAGAAGGCAAGAAACTCAGTTTAAGTATGACATTGTAATGTCATGTGATTGTAAACACAAGAATAAATCAATGTAATATTATTTATAATCTGATTATAAATAATATTGCATTGATTTACATTGAATATATTTTTCACATGGTATCCACTCATCGCCCGGTTGTACAATGCTATCCTTGTACCACCCGAATCGATACACTCTGTTAATTTGTGTTTAAAGGTATTTAATTCCAAGTCATAATGAGAAATCAGTGACTATTTTTATATCCATATTCTAATCAAATTCTAACGAATATAATATACGATAAAGTCGCAATTTTTCTCTTAAAACCGTGAAAATAACCACTTGGTTGAAAACCCCTGTTCTGGATCTTGATATTCATTGACATCCTTGTGACAGAAATTGCAGAATTTTAAAAGCTTCGGTAGCCAAGCCACATAAATTTTAGACCGCGGAAATTGAGATTTATAAGCCCGGATATTCTATCTTTTATTCATTCGTGCATGCTCAAGCACTTTGTAACGATCAACGACCAACGAGGCGAGGAAGAGAATATGGGTCGCGGTGAAATCTTGCGAATAATTCAATGAAAACTGAAGTTGCTACTTTTGGGAAATGAGAGGAACTAATGCATATCTGCAATACGACAAGTGCATTGTGTTCATTTTCACGAAATCCGGTTTATATCCGACTGAAAGCACGATCTTATTTTATTCTTATTTTTAACATGTGCATTTATATCTGTGACGCGGTAGTTGATAAAAATGTTTACTCAAGGCATCTGCAGATGTGTAGGCATATATTTTTACATAAGCTTACATAAATTTAGAATTCTTACACTTACAATTCAGACGATGTTTTCTTGGCCGATTTGGTAATTTTGTTAAAAGCAACCTTTACTTATTGCCATACTTTCAATTGGGTTCAATTGATCTTTTCTTTATTACTAAATGGCAATACTAAAACTATGAACAATGTAGTCAATGTTCATTTTACTGGACTACAAATGGCAGAATAGATAAATAAACTAAACTAAAGCAGCATGCGTGAGATGGATCCGGGTCGATTAAAAAAATCGCATAATTTGAACTGGTCATACAAATGAAATACAAAAATAGATAAGGCTAGAAATTGATAACATACGATATATTATATTTATATTATATTTTATCTGTTTATTATTACATTGAGATACAAAAATAGATAAGCTTCTAAAAACCGATAATAAAATTCAATATTGTTATATTTTATTTAATTTTGTGTTTAATTGATTAGATTATGACTATTTAATTTTTGATTAACATCCAATATTCTAATAGATATTTTATTCAATATTTTTTTTAACATATAAAACATTTCTATGACCTAATTTTTGATTAATTTAAAATTGAGCAGAGACCTTAAGAATTTTGCCATTCCAATCATATATTTTATCATCGCCCTTAAGAAGAAATTTTTAGAATAACATTTTAAAAATCATAATGTTAAACTTAGACTGTATGATAAATAGTAAATAGTAAATAATAAATAGTATTGAATTAATAATGAAAATTCACAAGTTATTGAAAAAGAATCATAAAGTACCTATATATTTTGCAGAAAGGAAAGGGGACAATTATGAAAAAAATTATTATAATATAACAATCTTTCAAATAATTTAAAAAAAACATATTATATTAGATTTATGATATCGTCATCAAATATATTATTATATTTAACAAAAAATTATTATAATATAATAATCCTTCAAATAATTTAAAAAAAACATATTATATTAGATTTATGATATTGTCATCAAATATATTTAACAAAAAATTATTATAATATAACAATCCTTCAAATATTTTGAAAAAACATTGTATTAGATTTATGATATTGTCAACAAATATAATTTTTAATGATTCAATACATTTGAATTTCATATAGTTTATATCAATTTTTCCGCCCCGTGTGAAGCACCGTCGGAAAAGCTGTGAATCTATTATTCTAAATATTTCATTCAATTTCTATAATAGATATTCTTATTCTATAATAGATAATTTTTATTCGATTGCTATAATGGATAATTTCCACGGTCGTCTAATTTTTAACTAAAAAGCAACACCTCGAAGTACAAAGGAAGAGTCTAGTATCAAATCTAGTTGGCCAAAGTTCTGCTGCGTCTTCTACGTACAAAAAGGAGGCAACGACATATATTCCTTTACGGACTATTTCAACTACAAAAAAAAAAAAGAAAAAAAGAAGATAAAATATCAGAGAAGGCCATCGAGATGTCGAAGTACTTGTAGATATTGCGCGTTCAAGAAAACGGTGCAGGGGATGGGGTAAAAATTGGAAATTCGGGACGTCCATTTCTGGGAACATTTCACCCTGTCGCGGTGTACCAGCCCCTTTGGCGAAAACGTGACCAATAAGAACGGCTATCTAGTGGCGCAGAATCCGCAGAATTCAACCCTTGTTGCGGCGAACAGCCTCGATTGGCGCGGGTACGATCCAATCGCAAGCTCGCCGATATTGATCCCCTTGAACGAGGGTTGAACTGTTGAAACTTTTTTATTGGTAAAGTTGTAAAGTGTTTTATGGCTGGCGGGGAAACTGGCGGCGTTATGCGATGACCATGAGTTATTAAAATTGCCGAGGACGCTTCAATGCTTTCGCGAATTAATGGGGAGAATTTGTGGAAATGATCAACGGTATGGTTATTATACTTTTCCACCCCGCAACGTTTGTTTGAACCTCGCCTTTCTCTTGTCCTCTCTTCATCTAATTACTATGATTTTTATTAGTGAACTTTTCGACGAACGAATCTTCCTTTTTTTTTTTTTTTGAGAAATGTACCACTTTCTGGTGAATATTCTACTTTTGTCTGTTTGAAAAATAATTGCAACTGAAGTTTTATGGAATCTCTTAGTGTGTTGGTGTATAGTAAAGAACATAATTGAATCAATAGCGAATCAAAAATTGTTGATATCTTACATTGTTATATAGTAATAGAAAATTACATAACAATCCATTTTAGAGTATAAGATCTGTACTTTGAAAATTCTGAGTTTGTTTTTTCTAAATAAGCTCTTAGATAATTTCGAGGGGGATAAGTAAAAAATTTTGTTTTCCTTCGAAAATTTTACGAACCCAATGGTTCAGTGGAAAAATTTTTTTCAAGATTAGATTTACCATGATCTTGAAGATTG